TGAAAAGAGTAAGAAACTTAAAAAAACGATAATGACAAGAAATATCATTTTTTTTCCAAAAATTTTATTCTGTACCTACCTAAAATGATTTTCAACAAATATTTTCAAAAAGTTGGTGCTTATGAATGGCTAAGTGTCTTACATGAAATGAATCACCCCGTATATATTTATAATACCTGTGTATAAGCAGTACCTATCTATATAAAGTTACATAAAAGAGAAAACTGCAGTCGGTTGACGGGCCGTCAGTTCAATATCACTCTATTCGCTACATTATATTATCGAACTGTGAAACCTGTATATAATGGTATATATAGTTGCCTTCCGAAACCTCCCGATAATTTTTATACTAATTATTGCCTCCCTACTATATGCGAATTACATCCCACTACACTCTAAATTTTATAGTAATCGAAAAACGTTCAACAATTACACAACATGTGCATTGGTATGCACAGGTTATAAATAATAATTTCCTAAACAATACAAATGTTTTAATATTTATAGGTATAACTATATTTTATTTTATTTATAATTTTAATTATGTTACCAAATGTTTTTTTATCCTTCGATAAAATAAAATTTAAAAAATGAATAAAATTTTTAAAAAAATCGTAAACATGAAAATATTATATTTATAATTATTTATAAAATGTCCTTACTTTTAACAATTGTGTTTACAGCCATATACATGTATATAGCATAAACTTATACGTAAGACTGATATTTTATTAAAAGTACCTACATATTTTGTACTACATAATTATAAAAAAAGTATTCAACAATTACATTATTCTCAATAAATGTAGAATAATGAAGTTATTCATGAAGTTCTTCTTAGACTTAAAATAAAATCACTATGTTTACTATTAAAAAATATCTATAGTAATATACCTATCTATATGAGAGACACTTATGTTTATCATTATTATGTAATATTATTAGTTACTAGTTATTAAATTGGTTTGTAACACAAAAAATATATGTCACATATTAGGTACATTTTAATGAATACTTTGTCATAGTATACATCACGGTAGAATAATAATGTATTTTTGGTTGCCTCATGTAAAAATACATGTCAAAACAATAAAACATTACCACTGTAATTGTACACTCTTGTACACAGGCACAATTCCAAGGGGGGAGCTAAGGGTCTTCAGCCCCTCTCCACGTTGAAAATGTTGGATAATATCAAGTGTTAACTTATGTAATAAATAAGTTATCATATCATAAATTTAAAATACAGGTGTCAGGTGATCAATAAATATGTTAACATTATTTTCAAATCATATCTATAATGTATTATCTATATTATTATCTAGTATTTAATAATAATATTATAATTATTGTGTTTTTTTTTGAAAAAAGTTAAGAGAAAAAAATTTAGATTTCCTTTTTTTAGATTTCTAGGTCCACTCCTACGTAAGTACCTATCTACGTCATATACTCCGCGACAGATTAGGTTCATGTACAGTAAAGCTTTGACGGTCAAGGCCACACGAATGTCCCATTACAATATGTCAATATTTACCTATACTCCTGTGGTATATTGTTGCATTAAATATAATTATATATTTATGTACGTACGTTTAATTGGCCTGCGATGTATCAAGTATGTGTGACCCTTATACAGTTAAAATACGTAATAATATGTATGAATATTTGTTATTAGGTTTTTTTCATAAAAATACAATAGGTATATTTTATATTTTTATATCTGCACAAGAAAACAGGTCCCAACGTTTGTTTTTCTCAATACACACCTTACATGAAAAACTCTCAGGGCTCGTGGACTGAAACTATTTTGATAGTTATTAATTTTTCTGTTATAAAGAATTCTTACAGTGCACGTATATTGGAAGTCAATTAAAAAAATTATATTTCTAAATCATTTAGGATAAGTGATATAGGTAATTACTATGATTTTAAATATATTATTATTACGACCAACTTTTACAAGATTTGTATATTGTTTTTCATTATTTTTGTTGTAAGCAACGTAATCATGAATCAAATTCCACTGCGCCCTGTAGAATATCAACCTCAAACCACTCTGTACACAATAAAGGACAGTTTTTTTTGTTAATTGTATGTTTTGAGCAAAAGATCAATTTTTAATTTTTGGGCGGCGGTGCCGTTGACATGTTTTCGCAACGTGTGCATTGTTGAATATTATAATTTACGACGAGCTCAATATACCTACCTAATATATTTTAACATTATTACATATTGCCTAAGTACTACCCCTTTTTAAACAGACATGAAGAAAGCCCTTGACACTTATTAAACTTAACTATTAAAATACTAAAGCCTGTCTACGATGGACCACACCTCTGTATTGCTGACCATGGTTTATAACCACGTTCCCGCTTTTTTATGGTACCGTGGGCCATGGCTCTCCGGCATATACTACATGTTTCACTGGACTGGATAATATAGGTGGTAAGTACAGAATTTTAATCGTATAGATCAAATTAATTTCTTCAGCTCTGGAAAAGAGAATATTTGTTGTACTTACCTATTTAAATTGTTCGTATTGGTTAAACATAAAAATAAACTATTAAAATTAGTAAAAATATAGCATATACATTTTTTTACAAATTAATTTATAAAAAAAAGCATCAACAAATATTTTATACATAGCTACCAATATATTTTACATTAATAAATAGATAACTGAAAAGTCCACTTGATATACCCTTAAATACATAGCACATAATAGTATAATACATATTATATCATACCGTATAACTTAAAAGTGTCTCAATCTTAAAAAAATTTCTTTACATAGAAAATTTAGTAACTTTAAATTTATGCTCAGCTCTCCGTTTTTAGATTTGTTAGTTTTAATATGAGAGTAAATGATAACTGACCAAAGATCCAATTTAAAGATAATTTCTAACTAGTTTACAATATTTGCCATGTTTTCACCTAAGTAATCGATTTTTTACGATATTTAAATCTTTAGCAAGTACTTATGTAAAACTATAGTAATTTTAAAAAGCACAAATAAATCACTTAAAAATTAAAATAAATACCATGAAACCTGGTATATGAACCAGATAAATTTATAATGTTATTACTTATACCTAGGTACTTGACTTAAAGTTTTCAATTTGATGTTATATGAGAATGTGTACTATGTTTTTTTTTTATCTATTTTAAATATTTTATTTAAATAATGCTTATTTTTGTGTCGATGAAAAAAAACATGACATATAATTTATTATTGGTATCACATAAAAACTTATATTCGTACATAGGTACTTAAAATTTTCATTTTAGTTTCTGATCACGATTTTCTGAGCTATGAAAGTCCGTCAGCTTATGTTACTAGGTATATTTTATTATGTCATTATTATTAAAACATCTAATTAATTGTACTATTAGACATTCGTAGTATAGTAAATTAAATTGTATTAACATAAACCAAATACATTGCGATTAAAAAAAATAACAAAATGAATAATATTTTTAAATTACAGCAAAATAACTAAAATCGTTATTCATTGTTAAAATACCTATCTAATGTTGTCCGAATTTGAACTTAAATTGTCAATAAATAAAACTATATTTATACTTATACATTTTATAAAGATTTTGGTTACAGTATGAACTTTCTACTATTGAGAAACTGTGTATGACTTGTTCAACTCTTAACTATAAAAAATGAACATTTTTAAAATTTAAAATTATAAAATATGTCCAACATTTTTTGATTTTGATAAATTTTATCTAAATTGTATCTTTAAATGCTTGTACAAAAACAAAATTGTGCCGGTGAATCGTTAATGTTTTTTTTTCATTTTACTATCTTAAAAACCAACATAAGAACTCAGTTAATGTTTTACCATCAAGTTTCATAATAGTTCGATTCATTCTAATTTTTAAAAGTGATCTGCTGAGAGTAAATTTAAGCTCCCACCCTTTAAATCAAACTTTCCTATTCCTGATTAATGTATACTTAATTTGTAATCGTTTTAACTTCGGTTGTATCCTTGCACTAAATTAACTAATAGTTCTCACACAAACTATTTTCCAATATTATTCCCAATATATAGGTTCATTTTTTACGTACAAACTACGAAGTAGTACACAGGAGAGAAAGTCACCCCCGAAATTTTTTTAAGAACAATTGTGTTATAAAATAACAAGTGATGAATATTCTAGTTCTACAAAAACAATAGAAAAAAAATGTTTTGGCTTCGTCATTGGAACGAATTATGCATATTATGTTTTATTGTATTTTGTTGTACCTACCTACCTAACTTCAAAGTATATTATACTTTATTTTGTTGCGATTTTGAAAGTATATTGTATAATATGCAATATGCATTTATTTTTATTGTTACAAACGGTGATGACTGGCCCACATAGATAGTTATTCTGAAACCGATAAATTCATCAGAACCTAAAATACTTATATCAGATGAATAACAATACATTATATAAGTATCCAGTTGTCACAATTCACAATTCTACAAAAAATATAGGTAATTGTTTATAGTAAAATTGTTGGTGTTAAATAATAAAATATTTGTTTTTTCCAATCTTATTGAAACAAAATAAATGCATCGAAGAAAAATTAACTTTTAAAATAAGTTTAAATTCATCAAAAATATAAATTGTGTAAAAATTGAGCAAGTCGTTATTATAGAAACATATTTAACAGCCATACATAATAATAAACCGTAATTGTGTATTAAACAATTCATAAAATATTAAGAGTTCATTGTTTACTTTTAGTTTCATAATATTTTTCAAATAATGTAATAATTTTTCTGTAGACTGTAATCAGACAAACTAATACTTTGTTTAGTTTATAACAATTGTCCATTTTCAGAAAATTGACTATTACAACTTGTTTTTAACATTGGGAAGGCTAAGTATTTGTTGAATGATACCAGTGTGACACTTATATTCTAAATAATATCATAAACAAGGTAAATACTGTAATAGTAATGAAATAATAGGTAACTACATACAATAACAACATATTAGCGATTGAGATATGTATTATAAATTCATCCAAAATAAAGCTATACAATTCCAATACATCTATGACAGCTAAAATTAATAAACATAATCAAGAATAAAGTGTTCGAAAAATAAAACATTAGGTCACCTGCTAGGTACAACTTTACAAGATAAAAAAATACAATAACATATTTGAACACTAATTAGTCAGTGTGGTTATGGTTATAAACCATAATAATAACAAAATCACAGTAAGAATTAATGTTTATGATAATATGTATGTGATGTGCGAATAAAAATTGTTAACATTCAAATTAATATTAAAAAATGATATTTCACTTTTAAAAATGACTTTCAGTTGCATATTGAAAAGTTTAGAAAAAACTGTTTTAGGTTTTTGAATCGAGTCAACGTCAACAAAATAGATCCATGACATCAGTGAGACAAACACCTCGTGGAGGAGGCGACGGGAAAAAGTGAGAACACGACTGTTGCGGACTGACGTATGTAGGTGGAAAACGAGGCAGGAGCGGCGAACGCAACGTCGACTCGATGCGGTAAAGTGCGTGCCCCTAAACAATCTAGGCCGTCTAGAAGACTACCGCGCGTTCTGCAGCTGCCACTTTTGGTAGGCTCTAGGTTAGGGACTCGGGACACCCGTAAAAGCAGACATTCATTTTCGGCACCTCGTCGAACATATCGACACCGTAGAACACGATCTCGTTCGATAACACTAGGAACGACACGTCTGCATCGGGGGGGCGCACGAATTCGTGGTTTCGGTACCCGTGCGGCTGCGGATTGAGCGTGTTGGCGAACCGCGCGCACATTTCCGCGTCCAGCACGGTGCACGGCGCCAACAGCGAGTACGCCTTGACCGACCGGTCGGCGTCGAAAGTGTCGCTGACCAGCAATTGGCCGGCGAACTTGTTTTCCGGGAGCGAAGCGTGCTGCCGGTACTCGGCCAACAGAGCGGCCGGGTTCCGGCCGACCTCGGCAATGGCCCACTTTAAGTACTGGTCCGCGGCGCACCTCTCCAGCCCGAACATCAAGCAAAACTCCTCGTCCACCTTAGAGCTCGTCTCGCCCCGCCCGGCCAGTTCAGCCGCGGAATCGTCGTGCAGCGAGGACAGCTTCTCTGCTTCCCGCACAACGCGATCAACGCAATACTTGGCCTGGGCACGGTGGGTTGCAGGACTCTCGGCCGCGTCCCTTCGTAAGCCGTCCAGCAGCTTCGTCAAGCACCGGTCGCGCAACATGTCCTTCTCTATCCCGTCCGCTTCGATGCCGTCCACGACGTGCCACAACAGGTCGCTGACGTCCAGCGCGGTGATTTGTTTCTGGTAGACGTTCATCAGACGGTAGATCTTCTGCCACGCGAACAGCAGATTGTCCATCGTGAGTTCGCCCAAGAGAAACATCTTTACTCGCTCTGCGAACACGCCGAAGTGCATTTTGAAAAAGTAAACGGATTTCCAGAAGTGTTGACTTAGATAGTACGGAAATGTCTCCATGGTTTTGAAAATCGGTAACCACACGGCTTCTGATGACATGCCCTAAAAAATGATTCGATTAGAAATTACGCAATATCTGAATGTGTAGTAGGAGGTGCCTATAATATTAATTTACGAAATTACCTACTGAAAAATCAGTGTTCTTTTTAACATAACATAACATTTTTGAAATATGGAGAGAAAAATGATGTACTTAATTATAATTGATGGAAAGTATTTACTAGGATTATGCGTATAGCGTATCACAGCATGCAGAACGTAACCAAGTAGATACCTATTTGCAATGGACGGGAAGTATTTTTAAAAACAATTTGGTATAATCATTTAGTATTCAAATTTATCAAACAATTGTAAAATATTTTTAATATTGTTTTGTTTAAATGTTATCCTTAATAATATGTTTGTCTATTTCTTTTTATACTTGACATAATGATAATTATATTTACATATTACTACCAATAATTTATAATCAGTATAATAACTCTTAAAAATTAAAAAAGTTGAAGTTTGTTAGAACACATGTGGCTACTTACAATTATAATATTCTTTATATCTTTTATAGGAGTTAGTGATCCTGTAATAATGAACAAATCTAAACTGAGTGATAAGACATCTTTCCATCTTGGCTTAGATTTCTTATCCATGGTATTCAGGGTAGTATGAATGATTTCTAATGAATATCGGGTAAAACAAACACCTCGTTGTAAAAGAGCCATAGACTTTCCCAGTCTTGATGTATTTGTTATCGCATTCATTTCTGTAGTTACTGAAGCTATGGCTTTCACTGGTAATAATGATGTTACTATACCAGTTGCAGCAATCGAACATTTAGCCCATTCTTTACATAATTGTGATGCTGTTAAACATTGTTTGTGTCGGTGAATGTCTATTAGATTTTGAACTTCTCTTCCTGTTTCCCATATAGCAGAAGATCCAAGTGATGCTGCACCCAACACTACAAAAGGTGCTGTCAATGGATTTAACAAACCATAAAATAATGACAAGGAACCAACAGTATTTACGATTCGCATGGATAAGTCAATATTTTTTAAAATTTTTTTGCTTTTTCTAGAAGCCGGCGTTGTATACGGTATTAAAGGAATTTTTTCATCATAAAACCCTGATTTTGGGTAGAATATATTTCCTTCAGGAAGTGTATTATTTTCAATATAATCATCCCAATTTTTGTATGTTCTTCCAAGTAAGAAATCAACAAAATAAATTTGACTATCTACCTTTATTCGGATTAATTTCCATTGATGTATAATATCCTTGTCAGGAGTACTACCACATGCATTAGTAGTATCAAACAATTTGCACTCTGTTCTACAAATACTATATGTTATGGTTACTCCTACTTCAATACTACTACTTTGATCATTTGGTTGAATACATTTCTCTATTTTCTTAACTATATTTATAATATTTTTTTGAACTTCATTTTTATATAGCATGAATATATCATTAACATTTTCATTATCAATATCTTTTAAATCATTATTGTATTCATCGCCTAATGGGTAGTCATAATATGTGTATGCCATAAATAATTTTAGATCATTATTTTTTAAGGTTGTCCATTCTGGCCGACCGTCAAAATACGAATATTGCAAAAATTCTAAATGCCTGAGTAATTTAAGTGTTTTCTGAAAAAATAAAATAATAGATATTACTTTTGGATAAATTAAATAATAATGTTAGGTAACTTTTAAATGAACAATATTAAAATATATTGTAAATGCATAATTATTTGAAAACATTGTTGAAATTACAAGTGTTGTTTTTTTTTTAAATCTACTTAAATATAATGTAGGATTTTTTTATAAATTGGATATGTTGATTTGTACACCTTTACAGTATGATATAAATTTGTATTAATGTTAAATAGTTGTAAATATAATAAACAAGGCCTGGATTTTATAGCACTAAAAGGAACTGAAATATGTGCTATAATATGACCTAAAAAATCTTAAAATAAGTGCTACAGTATGCTCTGAAAAATAACAAAAAATAACAGGTTTTTAATCATTTTCTCTTCTGTTGACAATTTTAGAAAACTTATATTTATTAAATAATTGTTGGTCAAAAATAAATAAAACACAACTGATACCTATGGAATTATAATTGTATATATTGTTCGATGGGAAAATGCCTAATACAGCAGGCTACCTAAAAATATATAATATAAAATAAAAATTGTGCATATTTTTAGTATGGATTCATATTTTAAATGCTAAATTGTTTTTAATATTTTTCATTCAGTATAATAGAGATTTACAAAAATGTAAAATTAATCCTTGTTAATTATTATGCATATTAGCACAAAAAAATAGAAGCAAAACTTGAAAAAAGCACAATTAAAAATCTAAAATACTTCAAAAAAAATAGGAATATAAAATTTCATATTTGAAGTGAATAAGAAAAATGTATTGTTTAGCTCTCTCTCTCTGCAATTTTTATCTGTATTCTATAGTAATTGGCAAATGCTATACAATCTGTGCCTTGGTAGTAAATAATAATAATGAAAACTTAATTAATATCTTTTATCATTTGTATAGGTAGTATAGGTAGTATTTATTATTAAATTGAATTAGACTTAAAAAAAAATGATATATTTATTTAATCAAATGTGATATAACTATGAATAATTAATTGCTGTGAATGGTGACAAAGTCATTAAGGTTATATTAATTAATTTATATTTACTTTAATGGTATCTTCCTTGCTTTTATCCATATTGAAAATCAATCAAATTCGTTCACTAGCCAACAGGAAGATTTCCTTAAAAATATAAAATATAAATATGAATATATTAATATTAATTCATTTTATAAACACAGAAACACTTAATTTTCATTTAAGTTATAATATCAATGTTGGAAAAATGAAACAAGTTAAATGATACTAGGACATTGGGCTAGGTTTAAAATAAAATCAAACATAATGTCAGTATTCAGTGTTTAAATAAGGATGTGAGAAGGTTCATAAAAAATACAATTTTGAGCAGGAAAAAAATACTGAGAGAAATACAATTTACATGTACTTTACACTGGACAGTCGATACAATTTAAATTAAAATACATTAGAATATATCCAGAAAAAAATAACTTAATTGATCTATACAAATTAATAATTTTGGGTTTTGTTAACTGAGGCATATATATCTAATAAAAAAGATTTTTTTTTAACGCAAAACTTAATTATTGTCTGAAATTGTAGGAATGTACATATTATCATTATAGAACATGTGCAGTTTTTTTTATAAGAGTACAAAATGTGAATGATTCATTCAACAAAGAATGAACAGGAAAAGTTGTATTCTGTATATTTTAAAATATTTTAGATGTTATGGAGTATTTAGTTTATTAACATATCTTGAAATATTGCATAAATTAGGAGAACAAAATACTTCTAAATTAAATTTTTCAAGTAGGATTACATTTTCAATTATGATTTTTATTTAAAAATAATATAATCATTTATTTTGATTATTTTTAAAATACCCTAAAGCAAAATAGTATTTATAGATTTTTTAGAAAATATTAGTATTATATTTCAATTTTTTTATAAACCTAGAAATCCTGACTCTAGTTACTATAAATTAAAAATACTATAATAAGTAGTAAAGACTCAAATTTTTTTTGCATATTATAGTAGAATAAATCCACCCTATATATTAATACTTGAAATCTGTAAATTTAAGTTAATGACTTTCTTATTTTAAAAAATTTAAATAATTTTTGAAAAAAATCTGATATCAGTGTATATAAAGTATTGTTAATAATATTTATTACTATTTATTAGTTTTAAGGACATATTATGATAATTATTATTGTTATTTATGAATGGTGTAGTGATTATCAAAAAAATGTATAAAATATAATAAGACATCAAAAAATGTAAATTGTCTTTTTTATACTCTGACATTTTTCACATTGAGGTTTAGTAGTCCAATACGATGACCATATATTATATAAATAAGATCAATAAGATCACATTTTTGGTTGATTTAGACATTTTTATAGTTCCAAAAGTAAAATTTCTATAGGACAGCCAATGAATGTTTAAAACTTTTTTTCTAGGAACAAGTACCTATAAGGGCACAACCAAAGTATTTTTTTTTTTTTTAAATTATTGTAGGTACTATTCTTTTAATTTTATCATTAAAGACTTACTTTGACATAAGTGCAATTTGCTAAATGTTTTCATGTTACGGCCAAATCTGTAATTCAATCGCCTATGTATCTTTTCAAAAAATGTGACTTCAAATATTTCTTAACTTGGAACATGAATTAAGATCGTCTGGAAATAGAATGAAATATATTTCAGTCTAAGTGAGTGATAAAAAAATATTGGTTAAACCATGATAAAATCGTCTAAAACTTCTTCTTAAACCTCATCTTAAACCAAAATTATAAATTAGTATCAACAACATAAATTAATAATTATGGTACCTAGCACACTAGCACAGTATATAAATATACCACTTATTAAAATTAAGTGTAATAATTATGTCTCGTGTAAAACCAGTTAATTTGGATTTGAACAGTGTATAACAAATAATGAATACTTTTATTAAGAATTTGTTCAACGGCAATTTTCCATTACAATAAGCAACTGGTTCAAACTATTGTCCAACAATTATACAGATGGTACCTATGAGTATTCATATTATTAAACTGGTAAAATATTATGTTAAAATGTTTAATATAAGTGGCTCAACCTTAGACTTTATGATGGAGCTTCATAAAATAAAAAACTGCCCTACATCTGATTTGAAAATACCAAAAATATTACAATAACGCTTTTAGGTCAATCAACATAATTAACAATGTTTTTTGCAGGTAGGTACCTTAAATAATAAAGCCAAAAAAAAAATAGACCACAGAAAGGCTTGATGATTGTGTTGCTATCCGCCTTAAGTTTTTGAAGATATGGAATAGATGATGTACCTCGGATACGTAATTATTATAGAGACAATTATTTTTCATAGTCATTCACAACTTACAAAGCAGACTGGGAATCAGACATCTTATCGAATCATTCATAATAATATGAACGTCGACAACAATGAACTGCAGCACTGCGTATTGATATTTGATAATATCAAAATGGACATAAATAGTATAGTCTCGAGATGTATCTAATTTAGAATTAGTTAATCATGATTCAGGCCTGTACTTTGTAGCCTGTGTCGGGCACTTACATATATATCTGTATTCCGTGGGCACTTATGATCACACATGATATCCCAGAGCCTTATCTTCTGAGTTCTGAGGTTCCAAGAACTTCCCACTGAAGTAATTTCAAAGTTTTCGACGACACTACAACGGCCAGTGCGCTTATCTGCGGCTATCAAAATCTAGTCTCGTTATCAGTTGTTATCACTTGTGAGCAAAAGCGCACCGACACGAAATCGAAAATAATAATATTCCATGTTGCACTTATTACACTTATTACAGTATTATACACATAGTAGCAAGTAACCCTTCATCGTTCATCGTTGTCGCGAGTTTCCGTTATGATCGGACCCGCCGAAATAATAATAGAAAGGCATTCGTCGTAGTCGGGCCACTCGGCCGACGTGATAAATATTAAAGAGGAGTACCTCTCATTCTACAGTACTCTGTCTATTCTGGTGCTCCAGTCATTAACCAGTAGGCAGTAGGCACTGTCAAACCTTTTTTTTTAAACCTTCATCATAACAATTTTACTTACTGCCTAATAGTCAGACGGCTGCTGTCTCAACGATGGACGGCATGCATTTTGTTGTGGAATAAACAATCATCATGAGAAATAACAATCATCATTCTCTGACGGCCGTGTAAAATGATCGGACCGCCACCACATTCCGCCCAACCGGACATCGTCTGGTTCCAATGATACAGGTACGACAAACTTTGCACATGCACATTTATATCATAGCATTTGGCTTACTCATACTTGTGGCATTTTAATAACCAATCATGTATCACCTTGATTGGGCCAAATAGTGCCTACAATCAGGACTCTATAATATGATTCATAGCTTATGTAGAATTAATGTTGTGTGACTTATCAACTCTGCTCTCGGATAGGTAATATTTAAGGAGTGGCATAATTTTAGTTTTTTATAGGAAGGGGCAAATGTTTTGACCAGCCCAAAAACCTGAACAAAAAAAAAACAAATAGTTTTGCTTGCAAACTAATTTCTACTTACATTTTTATCTTGATACAATTCACATCTTACATAACTTAATACAAGTCTAAGGCAAAAATACGTGCCCCATTTTAAAGCAAAAAAGATGTAGAGGGGCTAAATAATTATTATGGTACCTGTCTCGGTGGCGTAATTTTATATTTTTCTAGATGGGTCGATCAAATTATATTGCAATATGAAACATTGCTGCTAAAACGTATTTGAAAAATCGAAAATCTTAGGTTAGGTACCTTCTGTAGTGGGAGATTTTTTCAAATCATGGAGAAATTCAAGAGTGATATAATTTTACTTTCTATAGTGTCAGCATCTATTTATTTGAAATAAAAAATCATAAATAATTTTAAAGATAGATAATAGTTTTATAGTGCTTTCACAATATAGTTTACAATCAAACAGGGGGAAAATGGAAACCTTGCAACTCGAATTGTGCAATTGTTTTCAAATTGCTTTCAAATACCCATACATTTATTTCAACTGGAAATAGGGACATTGTCGGCTAAGTTTTAAATTTTACATAACTTTCTTAAAATGATTTAACATGAATAACGAAAGTAGTATCTAATAAATTCTAATAGACCACCATGGTAGTTAAGACTTAATAGTATATAATAAGCTAATGGTTTTAAACTTATATATTTTTAGACTTTTCTTTCTTTGGATTAGTTTTCAAGATACAGTAAACAATATAATACTTACTTATTTAAACTTTAATTTTTTTAATGAATGTATAAAGTGTATAGTGTATGAGTGCCTAACTTATTTATAACCAATTCAGATTGTATATACTGCAGTTTTAAATGTATTCAATAAGATCATCAGTTAATTATTCTATAATACAATTAGGTATCAAATATATTTCTATAAGTATCTAAAAAACAACTTCTTTATATCATAATTTTTTAATGAGGGTGTAATTAATTTTTCTATATCCAATCAATTTGCATATCTACTCAATTAAGAATTTATAATGTGATTACCTAATCCTAAAATAACCATTACATTGCAAATAATATACTTATCTATAAAATAAGATTGCAATGCAGTTATTTTTAAAAATAATAACAAGTCTATAAGGTTACTATTTAATTGTATTAATTTTTGCAGTTATTCATCATTCAATTATTCAAATGATCATTAAACCAGTATGAGATTAAACATAAGAACTCTCTTTTTAGTTCTTTCGTCTTTAATTATAGTATGCACATTATCATTATGGTCCAATTGCTCAAATCAAACATTTGATACATTTTCAAAGAACATTAAACCAAATTATGAAGTAAGTAACAAATTATTATGATATTTATCTATTAAAATACCAGTTATAATTTAATCAGTATCAAGTGTATTAAAAATATTTGTTTTTTTTTTTAATATGACTGTGTTTTAGTCTTGTCTATACATTTCATAACGTTATTTTATTTAGTTCCAGCTATTTTTTTTTCTTTGATTGCTCACATATACACAATACATATCTAGGTTTATAGTATATTTATATTTTATATCAATATTAACTGTGAAATAATATCAGGTAATCAGCATTCAAAAAAAAAAAAAAAACTCGGTGTACTAAAATTGGTTTCTTTTAAATTCAAAATACTACTGAAGATTGAGTAGTCTTCTACATGTTACTATATTATATAAATGCGAGTATAAATGTGAATTGATGGTGTTAATTTATTAGTGATTTCATATAATTCTACATAGTGTCCCATGAGGATACCCATTAGCTATAGAGGGGGACTCACTGCTCAGACAAAACCCTGTTTTTTGCCATTTTATCCATCAACTAAAAAAATGATTAAAAATCTTGAAATTAATGAAAGTATCGTTAAACTATAGTTAACATGTTCAAATATTTTTTTTTAGATTTTTTGGTTACAATATAAACTACTTATGAGATACCTTGTTTTACATTCTCAATCCTTAGTTATAAAACTATTAACCAACTATTAAGCCATTAACAACATTTCTTATTTTTATAAACCTTTTTTTAATTCTTGTAGACAAAAAAATGTTTATTTCATAGTAAACTTCAACATTTAATACAAGGCTCCTTGTAAGATGTTACTAGTGTAAGTAAAAGAGCATAAAGAGCATAAATTCACAATAGTTTTTTGAGTTTGTAAATGCATGACATTTTTCTTCTTGTGTCTAAGATTTTCAACTCAAAAACACTTAATCGTAGATATGTGACATTTTCACTGAATAATGTTTATGTTAGCATTTCTATACAAAATAAGATTTTCAAAATATTTTGACTTGCTTTTAGCTGTTTAAGGACATTTTCAATTTTCAATTTTTTCAATATTTTTTTTATCATTGTCAATAAAATTTTATTTGTTGGGTCTAAAAGCATAAAAATGTTATACAAGGCTTCTAATATCCTGTCACATACTCACATGTCAGTTTAAAAATATCAAAAATGCATAAGCACAATTTCTTTTTATGAACACTTAAAGTTAAAATGTTGACAACATTTATATCATTTAAAGTTTACAAATATTTTTATAGTTTAAATTTTGTAAGATTTTTGACTTATAGCTAAGAGTTGAAAATTTAAAACAAGGTTCCTCGTAAATGGCTTATTCTGTAAACAAAAAGTCTAAAAATATAAAGTCATCATTTTTTTATGTTCAAATGTCTACATGCAATGACTTTGAATGAATTTAATCTACCGGGCAGTACTAATGCTTACAAAAATAATAAATTACTTTAATCGCAACAATGTCATTAATACCATGACTAAATAGATAGGTATGATCACATCGATATGTGTTCTCGATCATTCTAGAGCACCATGCCTACTGTAGTTCTCGTTATTTCATTGGTCGTAATAATTTTGGTGCCAATATTTTATAATATGTAAATATTACAATATACTACTGTGTTGATACCATCACATACTTATGCACTATTACATGACTCAAAACCAGTCATAAGATTATAAAAAAATATAATTCAGAAAATCAAAAATAATAATTTTGAATTTATTTAAATTAATTATTAAATATTAAAATATAAACTAGTGTTGATAATATGAGTAACCAATGAGAACTGAGTAATAAACATGGTCTGAAGGGGAATCTGCGTATCAGTAACAATGTGATCATAGCTATCTATTTAGTCATGATTAGTACTAAATAACTAAGTCATGTTATAGACTGGCAGAATCATTTTTCATATACAATGATTTACATCAATTTGAACACCATGTATTACAGTGACCTACTTGTAACCTTCCGTACAGCAGAGCAAAATCCACTTGCCCGCTTTTTTTGATTTTTATCCTATATATATATTGATCAAAAAAGTTTGCTGAGTCAAAAAGATATAAAATTGAATTCAAGGCTCATCATCTTGTTATAATAACAGTTCAAAAATATTGCAGATGGATAACAACAATTTTTTTTGTAACCTTTTGAAATTTAAATGTTTACAAAATTCATTAAAATTACTAAGATTTGCAAATTATTTTATACATGAAATGTATAAATGTTATACATATTTAGATTCCCCACAAGCAAAGACTCCCACTAGTCAGCTTAACATTTGTATGGGTACATGGTGCTTTATATGTTTTTAATAAAATCAATGCTCAGATGCATTATTTAATGATGAATATGTAATAAGACGGTCTTAACTAAGATGTTGTAAATCGTAATGTACAGTATTTAAATGTTGTATGAATTTATAAAATACCATTTAAATTTTACAAATAATTCTTTCCCTCTATTGTATTTGCATTTTTTTTCAGTCATTAGTTCAAAATATAAAACCAATAGACTGTCTCATTAATGGAAATAATGTTCATGTGGATTGCCTTTTAAAAAATAACACAGTTTATATTCCATTTTCATTTCTAAAAAATTATTTTGAGGTATGTATTTCTTTGATATTATTTTCTATCATTTGCATGAATGTATACGTAGATGATTTATCAAGCTATTTATGTTATTATATCATGTACCAATTTAAAGTAATCGGTAAAAAACATTTAAGTCTATCCATTTGTTTAGTAAATTCTAATGAATATAAACTATTAACTATCTTAAATAATACTAATTTAATTTTCTGTTTAGGTTTATGGAAAAATTATTGAAACAGATGAAAACAAAAAGAAATTCCTTTGGTCGCATAGTTATTCTAAAATATATCATCAAAATGGAAAATATGACTCTCGGGGTGTGTTCACGAATTTCCAAAATTATAAAGTTGAAGAAAGAGATCGTGTAAAGTGTGTTAGTGCTTCTGAAGGCAAGTTTTAAGTTACCATTAATCATCTTAATATATTCATATATTAATAAGCAATAAAATAAGTAATTAATTATTTTTTAAATTAAAAAAAAAATAATTTTGTATTTGATAATCATAGGAGTCCCAGTATCGACTCAGTGGAATCCTCATGGTTATTATTATCCAACACAAATAGCTCAATTTGGGTTATCTCATTATAGTAAAAATCTTACTTTACCATCGCCAAAAGTAAAGGTCTTAGAAAGCGGTCAGTTAAATCCTCTATGGAATGTTCCTAAAACTTCAAAAATACAAATAGCATTCAATGCTCAAGTCAATAGTGATGTTATTGATTTTTTCAGTACCGGTAAATTAAATATACAACATTTTAATAACATTATAAATGTTTTTTAACATCCTCTGTTAATTCAAACAACTCAATATACTTATACGCCATTAAAAATTACTCATATTGTAAAATTATTTTATTTAGATCAACCAATTTCTTTAAAAATTGACAGCAAAGAAGATTTTTTCATTAGTTTTGATGTTGCTTTGTCTTTATCAACAAGTAGTAGTATCGTTGTTAGTATAAAAGAAATAAAGGATCAAGAAGTATGGAATCTTCATTACATATGTTCTAAAACATTTATATTTGCAAAGGTAAAATACAAATGTCATATTATGACTTTAGTATGACAATATTATTGAAGTATTTCCTCTCAAAGCATTATAATTTATAATTTTTATCTAAAAATAATAATATTTTACTTTCAATTATAATATTATAAGGTGTCCTATTATAAGGTATATAAAGCTCCAAATTAGAATAATTAAGCAATACAATAATAATAATACATGCTGTTTTATCATTAGTTAATTTTTATTGTATTGTATAACCTTTATTATACAAACCCTCTATTATCTTTCAGGGTATTATCGGATATTCTTCATTGTTTGTTTACGTACAATTTTGACATTAGATATCCCCCTAAAAGGTATCATACAGTGTAAGATTGCAAGATCTAGAAGGCCATTCAGGGTACCAATGCAATAAGCTGTCCATCTACTCCATTATGAAAATAATCAAAATCAAATAAAAATTCACAAAAAAAACGGCATTTCATAAATTTAAATAACAACTTATAACAAAAATAAATCATTTTAAGAACAAATGCTGCTAAGTTCAAATTCAACACTAAATCCCAAACACCCTTTAATTTTAAAAAATATTCAAATGGTTTTTATTTCAAAGTTATGCAGTTATAATAGTGCAAACATAGATTATAAATGTGAATTTAATATTTATGATAAATTATACAAAGATATAATATTATTTAATATTGCAGTATATACCATAATTATTTATTGTTATTTTTTTGATTAGGGTCATAATATTTATCATGGAATGCATTGTGGTAAAGAATTTGGTTGGAAAAAATTGACGAGAAATGTATTAGTTGACTTACAAAAAGGCTTACATGTATTGAAAAAAACAACAGCAAAAATGTTTCGTTCAAAATATAAGGTAGAGTCGTTTTCCTTCATTATCAAAATACATATTATTTTGTTTATCGTTAGAATTGAATATTAATCATGCTTTAAATTTTCAATTATGATTTTATTTAGTTATGTGATTTTAAGCTGTATGGAGTTGGATTCTTGGACAACCTAACACTTAGTTCTAGTGATCATATTAGTCAATTTTATGCTGCAGCACATTGGTTCAATAAACATCAAGATAAAGAGTCTGGAGGTTGGATTAATCCTGTTACTCGTAAAATATCACCTGTTATCAAACCATTAAAGCCAGGATGGTAAGTTTACTAAAATGTTGCTAATTATAAAATAAATGTACTCTTAGAATCAGTGTGTAACAGAAATAATAGACTACGTAATCAGCGATGTAATATTATATATATATATTACCGTAACAACCCGATTACTATATTCCGTTCAGCTAGAGAATGAAAGTGGATGCAATCTAAAGCTCGTCTATTGCTGCGCATTTTCACCACTTTACCGGCACGAGTACTGCCATCAAACACCATCGTTGTCACTAGGTTTGCTCCTTGGTAAAAAAATGTAAACCTTATGATTTGTGCATGTCCATTTGGATCCTCAAGCAACTTGCTTTCTCTCGCCAAATGGAGTATAGGTAAAACTAGGTTTTACTAATTAATTAAATGTTTTTCTGTTTGTAAATTCTGAAAATTCTAATTTTATTTGGGCTTTTACTAAAGATATTGTATAAATCCTAGAATGTACGAATTAAGTTAGTAAAAGCTATGATAAACACAAATTAAAATGATAGTTGTATTTTATGAAAACAAATTTCTAGTGATTTCAATTTTTTATTCATGCATTATGTACTATAGTTAAATAAAAACTACAATGTACAATTAATTATTTGTGCACAATGTACTATTATAGCACCCAATGTTACATTTAACACCTAAAGTTACAAGTGTACTAAGTATACTCAAATATACAATGTAACAGTAATGAGTTCTGACTCCTTCAGCTTATATATCTTAGGATATACACAATGTGTCTAGTAAATGTTCAAATAAAGTTATTATTTTCAGCATTTACTGAGTAAGAACAGTAAATCCTAGAATTAATTATTGAAACTTAGCTTTACCTAGTAATTAGGCTTTTATGGTAACATATATATTTTTAATACGTTATTAATTTATATAATCTTAATAATTGAAAAATTGATTAGAAGAAAAGTGATTACATATTTAGTTAATCATATCTGTCAGTTCTTTCTTTTACATCCTGTATTATTAATTTAAATATTGAAGACAATTTTATTATAAGACCAAAGTTTTTTATACTGATAATAACATATAATTTATAAAATGTCTAATGCTGTCAAAATTTGTTCAATAATTGAAAATTGTATATTATTAATAAAACAATTTTACTCTATAGGTTATCTGCTATGGGGCAAGGCCAAGCAATATCATTGCTATCCCGGGCATTTTTCCATTCTGGTGGCAATGAAGTATATTTAAAAACAGCTCATACGGCTCTAAAACCGTTTAAAATTCCGACTAAAAATGGTGGCGTTTTGTCTGAATTTATGAATGTACACCCATGGTATGATGAATACCCTACTGTTCCACCAATATTTATTTTAAATGGTTTTATGTACTCCTTGATTGGATTATATGATTTGTTTTCATTAGCTCCTAATGGTTCAGAGGTAATTTAAAATATGTACTTTTTATAATTCTATATTTCATAAACACAATGATTTTAGGTTTCCCAAGAAGCTCATTTACTATGGAAACAAGGTATGACATCATTGAAAAATCTGTTACCATTGTTTGACATGGGTTCAAGATCAGCATATGATCTCAGACATGTAACACTTGATATAGCGCCAAATATTGCTCGATGGGATTACCATGCTACACATATCAACCAACTATTGTTGTTAGCAACGCTGGACAACTCAACAGTTTTACAAACTACAGCTAAAAGATGGATTGGTTACATGAATGGTGCTCGTGCATCGCACAATTAAGTTATTTAGACACTAAGAGTATTGAACATAAATTTAGTAAAATATATTTAAGAAAATGTTGGGTAAAAAGTATGGCTGTGACAATTTTTTTTTCCTAAATATGTTGCATTTTTAATTTTTTTTATATTTTTAGGGGAAATGTGCATTAACAAAAAAGCTAACTTTATTATTTGAATATAAAACAAGTAATTTAAAATTAAGACCATGAGTTCACAGCAAGTAATAACATTTAGTTTTAGTGAAGTGACTTCTTTTAAAAATAACTAAATTTATTATGTATTATTTATTATAATCTATATAATATCTATAAATCATGTTGGATTTGTCAATCAGAATATCAAAAATTAAATAATTAAGTTCTGAACTCGGTTGCATCATATAATTTAGTGATTTACAACTAATATTTAGTTGAAATTTTGTTGGATTGGTTAAAACTATTGTTAATACATTAAAAAATCATTACCTTTGATTTTTGCCTAATCAGTATTAAAAATAACATAATATAAGAAATAATTGAAACACTAGGTAGGATTTTATTTGACAACAATTAATTTGAATAAATATTTTCATAGTTTGAACTGCTTTAATATTATTTAACTCTGGTTACAAAAGTTTTGAAGTATAGCTATTCTAATGAGATTATTATAGAAACATGACATATTGTAATTTGTTACATGAGAAATATTATGTAAAGATGGTTTTATTCCTATTTTAATTAAGTTTATTAACATGTACCATAAAACTCGCTTAAGACACTTGATTTGTCTCTATCTGATGAGTCCGATGAGGCGCTTTTTTTCAGCAGATTTCAATAAGTTTCAGTGATTATGAGACAATAAAAATAGGAATTAGGAATGTTACTTATTTACATGGAATAGTCTAGTATCGATCCAGTATCGACTCCTACAATTAATGCTGGTTTACAACACCTATCAGAAGTATGAAAAGTACTCTCCTCTGTAGAAAATTCTGAAGAAATTTTGGGTCATGTTAACAAAATAAAAAACCTTCTTGCCAGTACCCACTCTCAAGCACTCTCAAGCAAACAAAAATAGATACTTTTATTCATAATAACTAAAATATGTATACGTAAATGGATTTCTGTTTTAATCAAATTCAATAGAAAAAATAATAATGAATCCAATATTTCAATCACTTACATATTTTTTTTTTTCAATTCCTGCATAAGATGCTTTCTCGGTTGAGACGCTCTAGAAAGCGGGTATCTTGAAGAGCGTTTTAATCGAGTTTTACTGTAATTCTAAATACTAACACAGAATTGTTTCATGTATGCAAAATATCACGATTCCTGTGTATATTTAAAAATTTATGAAATATTTGTGTAACAGTTAAATCTTCTGATATAACTTTTATAAAAAATAACCATCTGATAATATGTTGTTATAAATAATAATTTAAGTATATTAAGTCATATCTAACAAAAAAAAAAGAAAAAATTATTTAATGTTTAAAAATAATTAAACCATTACATCATAATAGTTTTGAATTTTTGATCAAATTAAAAGGAAATCAAATTTTAAAAAAGACATAGCGCCCTACTTGATTTTTTACCTTTCAATGAAAATCTATGAATCATAAATCTGTTTTTAATTGGGGAAGAGACACTAAAGTTTCTCTGAGAACTATTTTTTTTTCTAAAAATACCAATTAAAAGCTGACTTTTCCATATTATATCATTAATATTCATTGTAGATTTTTGCCAAAATACCAGATACCCTATATCGTTTTTAGGTACTAGCACTCTTAGGTGGTGTTCCTGGTGGACGTTTTGATGCAGGGGCTTTATAATGCACTGATCAAAAAGCTCAAATTTAAATTAATAATTTAAAGCCACATATGTCTCTTTACCAATCAATGTTAAGAAACACTGTATTTCAGAAATTGCTTCACCAATTACGCTTTTGTCGATGGCCGCTTTTCCTGAAAACGGCTATAGTTGTTTATTGATATCAATATTATCACAAAAACCACGGTAACAATAATAAATGTTATAAACGTCACAAAAATCGGTCAGAAAAAAAATATTTGTAGCTAACCCAAAAACATATTTATATTAAAAATCATAAATATTTATTTCAGATGATTATTGTTTAGTTTGTATACAAATAACTAAATTAGAAAGTTGATAGAAAAATAAATATACTCCTTCTGTTAAAATCATATCTGCTTAGTCGACAAATTTAACATGTATTACTGAAAATGTTTGAAATCATTATAATTAGAAATAGTATTAAATAAAATTGTTATTGATGAAAAAAAAATAAGGTAGTTAATTATAATATATATATTAATTTAGGGTGGTTTAATTTATAAATGTACAATTAAAAGAAAAAAGTATTATTGTTAAAAAGTATTTACTTTGGTATTATTATTTTTTTTTTTAACAGTTATGTTTTAGTTTTAATTTACTTTCAATGAAAAATATGTACCAAATGTAATGTTATTTTATGTGGTTTACACATATGATATTTATGGAACTGTTCTGTTTTTAGGGTTTTTTTTTTTTACCTTGCTGTTATTTGTTTATTATATGATTATCATGTAGTGTTAAAATTTACAAACAGAACCATAGAAAGTAAATTTATAAATACACTCCATTAGAATTATAGCGACAATCAAAAGTTATAATAACATCTTATTTTTATACAGTTTATACTATTAACTTCATAACTATACACTATATGATTCCCATTGCTCTTAACTTGCCTATAACTGCACTAGTGATCTCATTATAAGTTATTATAAAATCTATGTATAAGGATAGTATTAACAATTATTAATAATAGAAATTATTATAATATTATGCTCTATAACTATATTATTTAATATATAAACATATATGTTTGATTTAAAACTGCTAAAAATATATTTATGTGTAATAAATATTTGTAACCAACACTAGTTTTGTTTTTTTGTATTTAAATTTTAAATACATGTTATAACTTATAGGTAAATATTTGTACCATACAATAATATGCGCCTAAGACATGGTGTCGGCACCAATGCGGTCAGGACATTTGCGGTCAATTTATTTCTATTTACCTGACTATAAAATTTGGGTGCTATATATAATATATATAAATGTATTGTATACTTAATTTGTGCTAATAGGTATATATTTAATATTTTATTATATTTAAACTTCCCTTCACACTTTTCCAGGCTAAGGACTGACAATATTTTTTACTGCCATGTTTAAAAGCTTATTATTATAAATAACTCATATAATATTAATATATTTGTCAATCACATTACATAATAGAGTACTCATTTTTTTTAAACCTTATTACAATTATTATAGAAAATTCACATGATAAGAAAACAAAAGAAAACATATTATTTTTAAACTCAAAATTTTCCCACACAGACGAGACATTTTAAATTATTTTTAAAACAGAAACTAAGCAAAAACCAAACATTGTGTGGACCTGTCAGAATATAACAAACATATCAAGTATATAGATATTGAAAAATAAAAACTATGGCTTATTTTAAATTTTGATTAGGCTAGGTACATATAATATGAACAATTTATTTAAACATTGGATTTATATTATAACTATTGGACAAATTTTTTAAAACTTTTTTTTTTTCATGAAATTTACAATATGTACCAGTGGCATGTAACATAGGGTCCAAGTGTTGCTCAGGCAACACCTTAAATATGGGTGGGTGGGTATTGATAGAAGAAAAATAGGACATTTTATAGGTCGCTATAACAGTATAATGAGAAGCAGGTCACCTAAAATTATTTGAGCAACGCCTATTTTTTTTATGATACACGCCACTGATCTGTACCTAATTGTACAATGACTAAATGCTACACAGAAAAACATACATACAAGTTTATAAGACAGTCAATCAATCAAAGTGAAGAAAAAAGTTAACAATAATTACTTGAACAAAACACACGTGACTAGTTTGTGGAAAGCAGCCACATATTAGCATCACTTTCATATGGAAGAATTGATTTTCTTAGGCCATGACACCATTTACATTTTAATGTTCATGGAGGGTAGCCGGGAATTGTTGGTGTAGCAAAATGTCTAACAAGTGGATTGGGATGAGATAGCAAGCAAAGGAAGAAATGTTTATAATATGATTTTATTTATGTTGGACTTTTTAGTATTTCCTTTAAGTTGTAGGTCATGTGTCCACACAGGTTCAAGCAAGGATTTATAAATAATAATTTTTTGTATTGACTTGTGTATGTTTGTTATTTTAATGAGGTTTATAGTAAACGTAACTGTCCATTTGAGTTGACGCTTCTGGATTTAATATGCTGGGCCTAAATCAGGCTTTTATCTAGGATTATGGCAAGATGTTTATATATTAGAGCATATGAAATTCGTCAGCCATAAACAGTGACGTCATGGCTAAGAGGTAGTCTAAGGGTAAACGTTAAATGAATAGATTTTGAACGGTTGATTTTAAATCTCCAGTTAGTGTACCATAATAAATTTAAAAATCTGTCTATTTCACAATTTTTTGGTGAAGTGACACAGGTATTGTTGCTTTCAAAAATCTTTAGAATGTATTTCAGTGAACATGTGAACATGGACCATATTGCAATGTTTATTGATGTTTTGATGATTTTTCAACAATGTTAGAAAACAAAATTAGTAAGTTATACAAATTTAATATATTAGTCATTAGGCATAATATTTAATAATTGATCAAATAAGTTTAAGTACTTATTACTTCAATACTTCAAATACTAATACATAGTAATACCATTGATTAAATAGGTTTAACATTATGTATAATAATTAAAATTATTATTATAAATCTTATTTAGTAAGTGTGTAATGGTGTGCTTCATAACAGTATGTATCTTATGTTTATCGTTCAATATCACTTTAATGAGTTTTTAAGCATTAAAGTGATTTTTTTACATTTTTTTATTATTGTTTACCCTATCGTGTATAATATATCATACATGGGTATATTTTTTTTTTACAAAATTGGCGATTGTTGTTAAAAATCCATTTCTTTGTATAATTTCAACAATGCTTAATGAATAATTATCTTGTGATGATTGCTCCATTCAATTTTTTTCAATATTGTAGTTCAGTAGTATAAATTTGTATTTATGTTTATATAGATTAGAGATGGCAGTGGCGGCGGGATATAATACTATTTGAAACAATTGCTTCATAGCTTCATAGCTTCAACATAGTAAATTATCATTTTGATGTAATAAAGGGGATGGTTGGTGGTAAAAATTATTATAAATGTACAATTTGCTTCAAAGACTCAAAAAGTTTGCGCCGCCACTGAGATATGGTATGTGTAGATTTAAAAGAGAAAATAAAGCCAGTATAATATATTATGGCGGAACTTGTACAGCAGTTGCATAGAGACTGTGACCTATTGATGTAGGTACCTATTCCTAAAATACAACTGCAGGTCACCGCCTTAATAATATTATGTTTATGTAGTTACGTTTAATAGGTATCCAATTGGTCCATATAAACCATAGGTCATTGCATACAATTAATTTCAATTTCATTCATATGAACAATAATATTATCTACAAAAAGTTAACTCAACAAAAAAATAGTGTAGGTAATCAAATTATTCAATTATTAAATTGAGGAAAATGCCTTCTCATAAATTATATCACTTAATTTTTTTTTTATTATAATATATTTAGCTCAACAATTACATAAAATTACCTCATAAAATATCTGTAAATAATATTATTGAGTATTTATACTTTCGTTTTTCTTAATCAATATAATGCATAGGTAGGTACCTACATCGTTTGACATTCTGAGCGGATCGATGAATGTACATATTAATTTTACAACGATATTATGTATGTGATTGTTTTTTTAATTATTTGTGTCTGTGTACACGATAAGAAGTCGAAATAATCCTTCGGTTAATTTATACCGAAATACTTATATATCTAACAGTATCTTTTCCGGAAGAAAAGTGAATCTAGTTGATTAAAAATTAGACTTAAAATAAGCAGTGGTTTTCAAAAGCTCCGGGAAAAAAAAATTTTTAACTTGAATTTTCACTCAAAATCGATTTACACACACCGAATGGTATCATTTTTCTATACTTGATAATATTTTCAAAATTCTCAAAATATTTTGTGTTGTTTTGAGCTGTTAACTGAAATTTTAAGTAAGCATTTTAAGTTCAAAGGTTGATAACATTTATCAAATTAAAAATTATTTTGTAAAATGTTCAACTTTTGTTGCCAACGATTGAAAATTTAAAACAAGGTTCGAGGTTTTTATTCTGTTACCAAAAAATCTAAAAAAAGATGTAATTTAAAAATATTATTTCATACTTGAAACATTGAAAGTATATTATTATAGTATGCGAATAATATTCATTCAACCTCCTGGCTACAGTAATATTATAATAATAATAACAATATAAAATATCCTGGGCCGACAAACCGTCTCCGCTCAGAATCGTTTTATGAACAAGCACAACGATATTTCGTAACAACTAACATTATATCGTTGAATTCAAATTTAATACCATCCGTTAAAGTGACCCACTTATAACTTACTAAACAGCTGAGCGTCACCCACGACCCACATACCGGCTTTTTAATAGTTGTGGCCCATGATGCGTAATCTATTTTTAGTAATTCAAAAATAACTTAACAAGTATAGTATAAGTAAAATAACCTAAAGGGAGTGTTGCAGTTCGTATAGTGAATTTAAAACCATCATCAGATTGATCAATTTCTAAAATTCTTAATTCAGGTGTAAGTCGTTCTTCAGTTGGTATTGATTAGGTAGGTATTTCATTACTGTTTCTTATTTATTTCTTAAACATTTCAGTTATAAAAATAAAAGAGCAAAATATGGAAATAAAATTGCAAATAGTTTTCCCTTGTTATTGTTGGAATTTTCTTTTCATATCTAAGATTTGAAAATTTAATGCAATATTCCTTATAAGTTTATCTACCTTTGTAAAAAAAAGTCAAATTCAATTTTGATGAGGGTTTGAAGTTGAAATTTTTACTACGTTACAATATATTCACTAGATGTAGCGATTTTCTAATTTTGTTGCAATTTAAAAACGAATAACCGTAGATACTTGAAATCTTCACTATATGTTTATTTCATCAATCCATATAATTGATAAAATGTTCAAAATATTTTAACTCATTTTGAGCTGTTTACAGACATTTTAAATTTTATTTTTTTAGATTTTTTTCCAAAAATGTCAATTCAATTTTACAGGTTGTGATAAAAAGCTTAACAATTTAATACAAGACTCTTGATAAATTGTTACAATAGCAGTTGAAAAATATTAAAATACATAGGTAAGTTTTTGTTTTATAATCATTTACAGTTCAAATTATGACAACATTTCTAGAATTGAAAATTGAAAAATGATTTAGTAATTAAAAATGCATTAAATGTTAAACTTTTAAAGCTAAGGATTGAACATTTAAAACAATATACTACGTAGGTAATTAATTCTGTGACCAAAAAGTCTAAAAATAATCATTAACACGGCTTTTTTTATAGTTAATTTAAGTTCAAATTTAGACGAAATTACATTTTAACCCAAAGAATAACGATTTTAGTCATTTTTGTTGTAATTCGATTCCAAAACATCCCAATTTTACACATAAATATAAATATATTCGTCGAGCATTACTATAATTAAAAAAAAAATATTATTAATAAAATAAATTTAACTTGCCGGTTACAGTATTAATATTTAATTATAAGTTATAACAATAAAAAAACATCCTAGACCGAAATATCCTAGACCGATCGTTTTTCGTGTACAATGATACCATATCAATGAATTCAAATTTAATACCATCTATTGTAGTGAACTCCTATAGACGGCTAGACACCTAATATACAGCAGAGCGACATCCACTTACCTGCTTTTTTAATATTACTAATAATATAGTCATACATAATTAATATTTAAGGTGCCTGCTGCCTGCACTTCGCCTTTTTTCTCTCAAAAACATGTCTCGCACGAAAAACTCGAGTGCCTCGTAGAACTACCCGTGGTCCAATTTTTAAAAATTTTTTTTTTAAGGAGATAGACTTCTTAAGTGGCCGAGCATTGCAGTACTCCGATTTTCACACCATACAATGTGATTTTGAATATTATCAATTTTTACATGTTTTTGTTTTTTTCAAGCGAGTTTTGGGCAAAAAATCACACTTTTCATTTTTGGCTGTTGCCCCTTCCCCTTGGAATGTGCATTTGCCGTAAATAGTTCGGAATTACGACCGTATACTCATACTTGAATAAATTATCATTTACAACCATGAACTATAATAACATAATATTGGCGACGAGATTGCATAGCGTTACCTAAATATTGCTATTTAATATTTATTGAATAAACAGAATGGCTTTTAATCGAATCTATAAAAAAAAAATGCAAAAGAGCCCCTTACCAACAAACACTAAACATTCAATGCTCTAATTATTGATATTATTTTTCATTCATTTTAAAATAATGTATTGCAGTGATTTAAATATGTTTATAGTATACCTAATTTATAATAGCTTAGGTACTTTTACATCATATTTATTTGTTTATTTGAATAAAAATTCAGGGGCGTCATTTGGGGGGGGGGGCAAGAGTATGCATTTGCCCAACCCTAGATTTTAAAGTAGCCAAATGGGCCGGTGGCCCACGGTGGTCTAAGCGGGCCGAGTTTTCTATAATCAATATAATCTTAAATCTACTAACTATGCTAGAATATATTACATAATATAAAAATAGAAATTTGTGGTATATCCATAGACCTTATACTAATACAAATATATTAATTAATACGTTATTATTATTATTATTCTATTCTATGGAACTACATTCGTTATCTCAACAATAACGATTGTTGAATTTTTTATTTTGAATATGATTTGACTTAGGTTAGGGTTTGAAGAATTTTTAATAGTAAAATTGTATTTTGGACGGGCTTGGACTTCAAAAGTTAGGCCCGTGCAGGCTCTAGTGTCTTAGTGAAACAGTGCCACAGTTGTGGTACTTTAATGCATATTTCATTGGGAAACTATCATTAATATTATACAAATATAATTAATTATTTGGTTTTCAGAGTAAACTACATTGAAGATTATAATAATATGTTAATATGAGTTAAGATTAGGTATTTATGTTTTAATAAGTAATATGTTGACAAAAGCGGCTACAGTTTGTGTTATATAAATTATAAAGTATAAAAATAATATTTGAAATAAAAATTGGGCTAGGTAGCGAGCGGAGCGAGCTCCTTTTTTCATATATACTTAAAAGTGTTAAAGTTATAGGGCCAGTCATTATTGTGCCCTACCCTATCAAATATTGAAATGACGCCCCTGTAAAAATTATTACAACACGCTGTACATATTTACATGACATATTGAATACTATATCGTCTTCCTTAAAAACGGATTCTTAATGTTCAATTACATTTCTATTATTATTAATTTACTCGATAGTCGGTACGACGATACCTGATTCCTTTAAGTAAAACCTTGCGGTGGGACTAATGGGAGTTCACGATTAATTAACCGTAATAATTTTAACGTAGAAAATAAGAAATTACATGAACGACTTGCAGAGAATCAATACAATTCTGCATATTATATATATTTTTAATTATTTCATATTTAAATTTGCTTTGTATTGCCCAACATCAGGTAAGTACACTAAACGTTGTTTTTCAATCATACGATATATTTTTGTAATTGCAACAGAATACCTTCGTCATTTTCAAGAACAATGTCAAGTACTTTAGTTTTATTTCCAATACATCACATTATTACAGTGCAGCGTGTTCAAAAAAAATATACATACCCATTACTCATATTATATTCCATAACAGTTGACTTGAAAATTACTGTAGAAAAAAACCGCTTGATTTGCTGTGGATATAACAAGGGCGATACGGGAGTTTTTGGACACATAGTATGTTATATGGGTATATGATTATTTGTATGATTTTTTTCCGGGGCAAATGTTTCTCAAATGTTTCTCCCGTCAATCAGAGCAGATGATAATATTACGTATTATCTTAACAGTCGGTAATAATAACCAATATAATTGTTATTATTATTATTTATTCGTCCTGAAACTCGAATCTTACACAATAATAATATATTGTATTCTGAAAAATAAATAATACGTTTAACCCCCTTCGAGAGATGTGAGTAGGCAATCGAACATGCGCAGCAGACTGCCGGCATCGCCTTATCAGAAGCGACGAGTGGCAAACGTACCGCCACAGCAGTAATAATTGTTAATGTTATCTTCGCGGACGTGAGCGGCAGGCCAAGGCATTTCATATCGTACTGGATGCGTTTCCTTATCATTACTCGTCGAAGGTCGAACACCTATCAATGTGACGGATCCACAAAAAACCGGGCCCATTGCTCGTGACTCGTAAGTTGCCGAGATTATTAATTATTCTCTATGGTCTATGATATTTTTGTTTATTCTCTCACCGTGACTGCGAATCGCGTCGTCTCCGGACGATGCGCTTCCAGTCGGCACACGGCGGTCGCTCGTACTCGCCGTTTGGCCGTGGTTTGACGGACGTCCGTTCGTCGGTCGATATTGTCGCTGTGACGGTAGTCGTCGCCATGTACGCCTACCACGAAAACGGTCGTCGATTAAGAATGACTCTGCATCCATGTCGTGGCCGACCGTACGTTTGACGGTCGCATGTTTTTCCCAACAACAGTCGATTACGCGTTCCGGAGTTCTGAGCACAAAACTGTAGTAGTAGTTAGATGCCTGACTCGAATGTTACAAAATATGATCCACTATGAGCCGAGCCCTTTGCTCGTAAGTTGCAGAGATTAATTGTACTTCTATTTACGTAACTACTTAATATGTTACTCGAACTGTGACTTGCACCTGCGTCCCTGAGCGATCTGTGTCCCACTAGCAATCGATTGTAGTTGGACGGCAGTTTATTCACCGACCAATATTGTTGTTGTTTGATATTATGGTTTTCCAAATAGCGGTCGATTACACGCCATGTTCATTTCAGAGTTTTGAGCACAAAGGGTGGGCAGATTCTTATTGGGAGTTGGGCGCTTAGTTGCTGTTGAAGCATAGGTTTTAGTCGGGTCTCAGTTTCAAATATTATATTTATTGGTTTTCATGTTGAAAACCATACCACGCCAGTTGGATTCCATGTTAAAATTCATACTTCACTAGTTAGAAACAAAAACATACTACTTTCCATTTCAACAGACTAAGGACTTTCTATAGAATTGGTGAGTGAATGAAATGATTTTATCATATCACGATAACATGTTTAATTTTCTGTGGATCTGGTTGTATTTGAACACACAACTTTATACTTCCAGACCCAATTAGAACAGAATATTTACTTAGCTGTGTTTATTACTTAAACCTATTGAAACGCTAATTATGATTTCATTTATATGCGATATGCCTATTGGGTATTCAAATTCAAAACCCTCACCAATTCACACAGAGTGTTGACCTCCACCACCGTGTGACCACTATTGTTCTTATCACCTATATAACTTGATTTCTGTTTGAGAGTATATTAAATATTAAAGAAAAAGAATACAATGTCATTACAATTTATGATGTATGTGTACTTGTATAATTATTTTTCCTGTTTTTGATAAGGTTCATGCATGTTCTAAAGAAATATTACTGTCAACTGTCTGTACTTAAGGATCTCATTGATGACGTTAGATATTAGCAATGCCGAAAAAAAATCAACGTGGTTGTTACATAGCACAGCTGGCGCGTGTAGTGGAGCTTTTACACGTTTGGTCTGTCAACCATTTGATGTTCTCAAAATACGATTTCAGGTAAATTTAAGTTGGATCCTGGGATTATTTATCTTTAATACTGAGACTACTGGAGTCTTTTAAAAAATAAATAGGTCACTAATAATTATTATTTTAAGCTAAGAGTGCCCAATAAATATTTGAGTAAATCATAATTCATATTTGTAGTTTGATTGTGATAATGTTTTGTTTTGATAGTTTTTAGTTTTTTATTGAGTATTTGGTTTTTAGTTGCAAGTTGAGCCATTATCGAGAAATTCAAACAACTCCAAGTACAAATCTATTTACCAATCAATTAATCTTATATACAAAGAAGAAGGTTTTAAGGCATTATGGAAAGGTCTTTTACCGGGACAATTTTTATCAACTACCTACGGATTAACACAAGTAATTCATTCCTTTCCATTTAAAGTTCAACCTTTTATAAACTTATTTTTTTTTGTGTTAAGTACCTATGTGATTTTGTTACACGGTTTTTATTCACTACATAGTATATACTACTAAGTATTAAGCAATACAAGAATTAGGTTATATTTTACTAGATATTATATTTAATTATTTTTATTTACCAAATAATTTAACTATAAAGTCGCAACTACCTACTTCAGTTATGCTCATGAGCTATTTTATGTTATATTGAAGTACTTAACAAGACTAATATCATTCCACAATCAAGTTTTGTGTAAGTGTCTGGTTGTTATTCCGTGAATGAGTTGGTTAGATATAGTCATAATGAATGAAAATTATATTTATTAAATAACAAAATTACTACCATAAAAATAAAATCAATAAAAAAAGTAGTTTTTGCTATTTGGTTTCCATAATATTTTTAACAAAAGAAGTTCTCACTTTAAATATTCAATATTGTAATTGTATGCAAACTTATAAAACACAAAAAAATTAATTCAGTTTTAATTTGTTGTAGTAATAGGTTAAAAAATCTCTTAAGAATCTTGCTTCATCAATAAATAGATTTCCTTAATTACTTATTCTATACAAAAATAAACTATAGTAATAATTGTTTAAAATTTGTTGTAAATATTATATTTTTAAAAATGGTTAACTTTAGACACACATTTTACATTTAATTTTAATGTAAAATAAGATTGTACAAACTAAATTTTAACATGTAACATTGATAATTATTAAATATTAATTAATATACTTATCAATAGTTGTAGGTAGTCAACGCAACGTGAGATAAATTCGTTATCTCTCCTTTATAAAATATATGAAAATAACCTTTGTTTAATAATACATTTATATTTTTTAAATTATACTATTTACAAGTTGTAACATTTTTCTTATAAATATAATTATTTAAAATAATGTAATATATTAATATATCTATTGCATACTAAATTTATTATTTTTAATGATACTCCTATAGCCCCACATAATAGTAATTACCTAAGAAGATACTTGATATCATCGCTTATCGGATGACATTTTTTTTCTATTATTACTTTTTTCTACCAATGATGTGATAGTAGTATAAAGTACCCGCACAGTTTAATGTCATGCATGTAACTAAAGATTTTATACTACTAGACATGGACTGTGTATGATAACAGAATTGCGAGCGGTGTAACAACATCTTGCAGTGATGAAGGCTGTCTTGATATAATAGTCTATAAATCTATAATATAACTTACCCTACTACTCACGCTAGTGTGCGCATGAGTATTTGAATAATCAAAAAGCACCTTCTATGTTGTTACCCTTTCCATACACTCATTGCTCGTCTATTAATATAAGGTCTATACATGTAAAACAAAACAGTTTTGTATTATTATTTTTAATTTTAAAGTAACAATAAATAATTTTTTAATAAGTTTATGTTTAAAATGTTAAAAAAAAATTAAATATTCATAAAAATTAATCTGTAAATATTTAAGTGTATAACCAAACATTTTGAGTTCATTTAACGAGTTACTTTCAAAAACCAAAATGTACAAAAAATTCCTTTATTTACGTTTTGCTAGCATCTTCACATCATACTATTTTTATTAATAAATAATTTTGCTGTCGACTATTGAGGCTCCATTGTATTTATAATTGCTTGGATGTATAACATAATATTATCTCTTAACTCTAATCTGTAATTTTTTTTATAAAGTATGGTTTTAGTTTCTAGTCTTTCAAAAAACTCTGGCATTACTATCAATAACTGAGAAAGAATTAAATCAGACTTCAAGTGTTCATTTTCTATGTGGCGTTTCGTCTGCCACTGCTGCTACTTTGGTGTCATATCCATTTGATGTTGTGCGCACTCGTCTAGTAGCTCAAAAATCTAATCAAGTAATGTATATATGAATATGGCTAATATATAAGATTTTCAACACAAATTTAAATTAGATAGTATAATATGTAAAATTCAAAATCATTTTTATAAAAGAATGTTAAGTCTCTTAAATAAATAAAATAAAACAAATTACCTATTTAACTTATCATATTATGATTTATGATTTTGACTAATTCTTAATCTAGCCACAGGAACCTTTTAGTGTATTTACTGTATTATAATACATTGGGACTGTATAAATAATCAATTAATCACATGTTTTTTAAAGAAAGAAAAAATCACAGAATACATTTTTATATTTATGTTGTAGATCTATGCAAATATGAGAAGTGTGGCCATATCCATGCATCGGACTGAAGGTGTATCTGCATACTACAGAGGGTTTTTTCCTACCATACTGCAAAATGCTTTGCAAGGCGGATTCCTGTTCATGTTTTATAATACATTTTCTAAGTTTTCCTCTGCGAATACTAGTACTAATACAAGTATGTTATCTGATCAATGCTAAAAATGTTAAATAAAAAAATGTATGCGTTTAACTTTTTTATTTATTTTCCTTATAGCAATTCATGACGACCATATGAACAGTATTAAACAATTTAGTTCTGGATTCATGGCGGGGGTAGCAGCAAAAACAATTGTATACCCACTAGATGTAGCGAAAAAAAGGCTACAATTACAAGATTTTATTCACTCTAGAGATGGTTTTGGCAAGGTAAAGATGTCGTGTTTTACTATTTTATCATTTCTTCCTATATTTAAATACCCGCTGTACCTTGTACTGATATCTAACAACAAATGCCTTCAAAGTTAAAATTTCACATTTAAAACTTGTTTAATTCTATGTTAATCTTTTTTTTAGAAATTTATGTGCAAAGGATTATTGGACTGTATTTATGTGACACTTCGAGAAGAATCTATTAGTGGTCTATTTAAAGGACTGTCTCCATCATTGATCAAAGCTGGGTTCACAACTGCGTTACACCTAACCCTTTACGAGCAAACCTTAGAGTTACTTCAACCTTTAGTCAATAATTATTAGTTATAATAGCTATAAACCAATTTGATTACCATTTATTTTAGAAATGTAGTTAGGAAATATATTACCAAATAATGTACAATTTTTCTTAACATTTATTTGTCTTGTTTTTTAAAACGATTGCTAATTAAAGACCCATATAATTACATAATGTATAGTATTTATAATTGTAATTTGGCGGTGTCCCTAGACATCCGTACAAATCGTTTATTTTCAAACAGTCTGTTTTGCTCATCATTTTTCTCTGACCGATCGTTTTACCTTCCATCTTCGGTACAATGGTTTGTTTTCCTTTGGCAATACTGCAGTAAAAAAAAATCGTTTTTTAAAAGTTGTAAAAACTGTTTATGCATTTGATTAAATTGTAAAAAAAAAAATAATTTGACTGTGATAGTGGTGTCACCACCTCCTACTGAACATTAAACTCAATCATCAAAAACAATAATTTATCAATTATAAGCTAAGTTTTTGTTAGTGTGTTACCACTGTTTAAGAGTAAAAAATATTATTGTTCGAGAAATTATCTCTTTATTTTGATTCTGTAATATATATATATGGAATATTATATATTACTATGAACAATACAATTAAAGAAAATTGTTTTAGTAATTCAAATTTGGCATTTTCAGAATGTGTTCAAAAAATAATTTCCTAATGAAAATCAATGTTAATTAGATACTCTGCTAGAAAATGCCTACTCATGAATAAGGAATATAATATTTTATCATCATTTTAATACATTCAATTTTTTGAATAGAAGAAAATAACTTGCATTTGTTTCCCGAATAGAAAAATTTCAGATTTGGTAGTGGCCTATGCATTATTGTATACATTTCACAATTTATAATTATTAATTACTAAGGCTTGAAACTCGTTGATATTGCATATTTGTTACAAATCATTGTATAGGTATGAACTTAAGTGAGCTATAATTTTGTGTTAGAATATTGTAAGGCTAAACAAAAAGTATTTTAATTTACTATTTTGTATAATAATGCATATTTAATCTTTCATAGCAGTTTTAAGCAGTTTTTATGTCTTTGCATTTTAGTATACATTTTTCTGTAATATGTATACCGAATTGAAGTCTACAACTAATATTTATGAGATAAAACTGATATTGACGGTTTTCATTATGAATTACTATCTCGTTTGTACTTTATTAATAAGTCGAGGGTAACCTGTTAATTGTTATTATGAAACAATTATATTAACTAGGTACATTTCGAAATATAAGCAGGAACTAATTCCGTAGTTTCTAGGTTTCAACTAGGTTAAAGACGCTTTAACATTTTCTGATCGTTCGACTCATAGTAAAATTAATAATTGGGTTTATTATTATTAATGTAATACTATGGTTTGACTTACCTGAAAAAATTTTTGCCATAGTGCATGACACTGTCATAATCGTATTCAAACTGGTAAGTGGTGTTTTTCAAACTTTGCTTATCAAAATTAGAACGATATTCTAGAAAACAGTTATAATTATTGTTATTTAAGTACCTAGGATCCGACGTTAAGAAATGAATAATACTTTCTTAATAACGTACGTGGTATGACGTTTTCAAAATTTATCTTAACAAATTTATCACGGTCGGATCTGGATTGCTCGTGGAAAACGCCTAGGGCGTGTAATAATTCGTGAATAGGTCGTCCGTCGGTACCTAAGCAATTAGCTCCTGTTTCGTCCGGTGGCTGCAGAGACACAACTTGCGGTCCCCCGTAACGGCCCACGTACGACCAACACCTGTATAGTTAAAATGTATTAATTAAACAAAAATTAGCTTGACACAATATTAAAATGAATCGTAACATTTTAGTATGACTTTTTATTTTACGATTGCCAAGTATAATATTTATTCTTTGTACCTACTGGCTATCCAGATACATTATTTTATTTTATTTATCATATGTTTTGAAATATGTCGACTGTTACGATAATAAGTAAGTACCTACTTAGATGTTATTACAATTTATATAATTTTAGTAGGTACCTAGGTTTATATTGTATACAATTATTGATTACACAAATGTTTTCTTCTAATTATTATTAAAATGATTAAAATCGGAAATATTAATCATAACTTTGTCAAAATTCAATGTAAAAAAAATATTATTTTAATATCTATAGAATGGCCGGAGTCAATATAATTCCGTATCTTACACATGTAAAAGTTGCTCAATTTACCCAATGATTTATCACCCTAAACATTTTGTTAGATTGATGATAGATAGATTAGATGTTTGATTGACGTATACATGTCAGATTTTTTGTGCTAAACTCGATAAAATTCAAAATTGCTATAACTAAAACTTTGAGCTTTTTTTTGGTGTAACTCATTAACTAATAATCGTAAGCACTTGTCATTTTTATCCCTTGACTGAAATAGCTCGCTTCCTTGCCACACATATACTACTTCGTATACGTACAACAAAAATCCAAAAGTATACGTTAAAGGTAAGTAAATTATTGTGTAAAGTGAGTAACTTTTGTATACGTACAAGATATGCAATTACGGCGTGCCCTGCATAGGCGTAATTAGGGGGTGGTTGGGGGGGGAGAGGTAGCCACCTAACTTAGCCCCCCTGTCATAATTCCTATGCTCCCGCCAACGGTAGCTACGTTTATACATTTCAATTTTAAAAAATGGTTTTATTTTTTTAATAACATCTGCGAAATTCTTGTTGTTGTTGCTGTTAAACTATAAAATATGTATTAAATATTATCATTACACGTGATGACCCTGTGTCATGACGTATCATGTTGTGTAGTTTTTACTAGATAAGTACATACTTAGAAGTTGTCAATAAAGTAAGCACAAAAATAGTCGTCATCTAGTATTAGAATTTAGAATAGACTCGTGATTTTATTTTAGTAACATTAATGTATAAATAGTTAATGACGATAACTAGTAACACGATTACTGGTCGATGATCACCGCCTTGCCGAATACTTAGTACTATCATACAGGGGTTCGCTAAAAACAGAATTAGATTTTTTATTATTTCATTACATTATCATCGTCCTTCGATATTCATAAGTACAGCGATTGTGTGCTTGTGTCTGATAGTTTGTATTCTGGTCAACGTCGTTATTATTATAATAAATTAGTCGATTTTTCTTTTTTATGTTTTCAAGATGTATTAAACAAATGAAACTGAATAAAAATCAGAAATTTTGTTATTTAATCAAATAGGTAATAGAAAAAATTAACTGTTACCTATCAAGGAAATTTAAAGTGGTTAAAAATATTATTCAAAAATTTGTTCTTCCGAATTTTTATAAAACGTTACATATTCTATCACTTCTTGTTCCAACAAGTTCAGCTTCTAGTGATAGAACATTTTCAGCAATGCGTCGAATAAATAAATAACTTTATGAGGTCAACTATGTGTTACCTACCAAATCTCTAATGTTTATTATAGCTAAGGATATTGAAAGAGTTTTATCAAATGTTCTCACTAAGGAAGACATTTTAAAAAGATTTGCTAATATTGAGTGGAGGCTTAAACCATAATGACTAGTGTATTATTATAATGTTACCCATATAAATTATTTAACTTTCACTTATGTTTACGCGTATGGTGCCTTGTTTAATGAAGTGCGTTACGCGTATTTTTGAATAATGTAAGTAGACATTTTTTAACTTATACTACTTTTTTTAGTGTTGAAAATTCTTTCAAATTAAAAAAATATTTTTTGTGTTTTATGGTTTGTGCTTCTTTAAGTATCTGGTAATCTTGGAAACTACTAAACTAATAAATTGACACCATCAAATATCCTTTGAGATTCGGGGAGTGTTTATTTATCTTCTTCTTGTTTTTACCCATATAGGTTGTTAAAGAGTAACCACGCGGGAATTTAATTTTGGTTCATGAACATCGAACATTAATTTCCCACGGGTAAAATTAATCTATCTTTCTAGTTTCTATCGTCTCAATTTTGCTTCAGCTGAAATATAATATTATATGAACAAAATAACAATAATTATAGTCTTATGATTTTAAACTCCATAATTCTGAACATATTTTTATCGAAACACAAAAGACACTTAAGATTGGCATTCGTTCTTATGTGTACACACAGATACATACAAAATATGTCCATAAATTAATGATGTAAATCATGGTTTAAAATAATAAAAGTAGCTAATTGTAATAACTCATAGTAATTTTGTTCATACCTAAGTATTTGATTTGAATTTTGGTTTTTTTACACTTATTTGCAAACATCTTTACATGCAATATTTCTACTAATAATTTATTATAATAGTTATATACTCTTGATATACTCTGTAACCAATGGTGCTTAATTAAACAAATTTTAAATTTCGTGAGCCAGAACAAAATGCATGTGGGATTGTGCGAGCCACCTTTAAACCACCTAGTGGGTTGAACATGAAGGAACAAACTCTCTCAGAGGCCCAAGAAATCTATTGAAACAATTTTAATCTAAAACGGTTCAGTAGTTTTTGAGTCTATAGCGGAAAAACAGACAAACATTCATTTTTATATACCTATTGTACCTACCTATATATATATAAAGCGAGCAAGTGGGTAATGCTTTGCTGTAAAGTAGGTGTCTAGAAGTCACTCACTGTAATGGATGTGTTAAACTTGAATTCAATGAACTATTATCTAACATCATTATTCATTGCACAAGAAAAACAATTCTGATCGAAGATGGTATCCCGGCCTATACTACTAAGTATATTTTATGATATCATTGTGATTAAAGTAATTTATTTTACTGTTAGGCATTAGTATTACAGTAGTTTAAATTCATTTTTGTCAAAGAATTTCATTTGTAATTGTCATTGTGTGTATAAAATATAATAATATATTCTAAAAGTTTCAAGTACCCACAAATAATATTTTTAAATAACAACAAAATAATTAAAATCGTCTTTCTTCGTAAATATCTCATTTCGTCCAAATTTGAACCTAAAATAACTATTAAAAAAACTGTGTTTATATATTTTTAGATTTTTTTTACAGTATAAAAATATTTTTTTTTAATTTTATAGAACATTTTAAAAATTTAACAGATTATGATGAATTTTGTAAAAATTTGAACTTTAAATGCTTTTAACAATTAAAAAATAATTATGTATCCTTAATATTTTGCAACTTTAGTTATAACGACTTATGAGGAACCTTGTAAAAAAATTTCAAATTTTTTTACCAACGGAATTTTTTATTGACATTCATAAAAAAAACTAATCAAAAAAAATGAAAATTTCTGTAATAACTCAAAACGAGTCTTTGAAATTTGTATCATGTGTAGAAAATGATAATTTGAACATTTGATAAAAATTCAAAAATCTTTGATTTTTAGTTTTTGAATTACAACAGAATAAGAAAATCATTCTATCTTCTATGAGAATTCTAGCGCATATTATCAATGTCATAAAAATTTGAACTTCAGATACTCATAAATTATCTAGTATTTATGCTTAACTTTTTTTTAACTTCCTCTAACAAACAGTTATGACAGACACAAGAGAAAATAAAAACACTTATTTTAAATACTAAATTTAGTACATTCATTGTTCCGCTCAGAATCTAAAATGGATGTATATTTGTAGCTTATATATTTAAAGACTACTCTATCGATCTTATGGTTTCATTTTTATACGACTATACTTCATGATACTACTTATTATTCTTATTCGTAAAACAAATCGCATAATATTTTGTACAACATATTATTATTATGTATAATATGTATAAATATAATCACCCAGAAGGATATTTCACTGGCCATATCAGCAAATAATCCTTTTCTTTTCCGGTCCATGGCACGAATTTGATGCAAGTCAGAAAGTTGATCGTCCTGATTGCTTGGTATATTAGAATCCGGTGTTCGGTTTCTACAACGGTAAGACAAAAAAATATTATCCCGATATCAAAATAAAAACTGCGTTGATGATTCAATCCATCGTATATTAACATGTCGCGATCGGTACGAAATTATTTTCAAACATTATATTATATGGTACAATGAAAATAAATCAATTTATAAATATGACGATTATTAAAATGCTATTATTGCATGCATACCGTAAAGCGGACTGATCAAATATGGCACGGTACGGTTGAGCCAGAGTTTCTCCGGGAAAATATCCCATCGCAGGCCTACTCGCCAATAATCAAAAATCTGTAAATTCAAGTACAAGATTACATGTTAAACGTAGCAAGATCTAGTGAAACTATATGCGAGACTAGTCGATCGATGCCACACATGACTGGTGCAGTATGCTTACCTCGTTATTCATCGCCATGTCTCCTTGAAAAAGGCCCGGTCTTACCTCCGGATCGATGTCCTCCTCAAACTGGAGACCATCCACATCATCTCCTCTTATATTATATCCGGCTGTAAATCATAATTTTGCAAACACATTAATGTAAGCACAAGATATACTACTACAGTATATAATACATTAAATATTAATACTATGTTCCTATTTTACAAAATATCGTCAAATTTATTGATTTATTTGATATTAGATTATACCATTCAAACATGGCCCGAGATAAATAAGTAAACTTAGCTACTTTTATTATATGAAATACAATATCATTTACATCTTTTTTTATTAGAATATTCTGATTTGGAAAACATAATATTATTATACTTGATATGTTAGTATAAATTAAAAATACATGCATGCATATTATATATTATACGTGCATGGTCATACGGTACGTCGGTATACATACACACACCTAATAAATATTGCTTGAACAATGTTCATAATACTTGGGTATCTCCAAGACCACAATAACAGAAGTCTGGTTTCTACTACACTGTGCCGTATGTCATGTGATGAATGTATAGTAGTATGAAAGATGTATTAATTGAATGGTTTAATAAAATGTAATGGGTCACTTAATCATGTTTAAGGGATCATTAGCACGCACTATTGATTCGTTACAAGCTAAGTAATAATTCATACAACCCGGTATCAATATGTAGCTAAGGAACAACATGTGGCCAACGATCGATAGGTACTTATAAGCGGAATATTAGGTAAGTACTAGGGTGGTCCTTATTTTTCATTTTTTATTTTTTTCAAATTACCCCCCCTAAAAAGGTTCAATTACTAACAAAAACCATACAAAAAAGTTTCGTGCACATTTTTTAATTTTAACCCGTGCCGCAAAAGCTCTAAAGTTATAAAAATAGAACATTTTCAATATTATTAATTTTTTTTGATATTCTTAAACATAACTCAGGAAATAAATATGCTACAAAAAAAATCGTTAATACATAAATGATAGACAACTAAATTTACAAAAATTTGTTTCGTATATATTAGTTTCCAAATATTTTAATCGAAAAGTTAAAAAGAAAATAATCTTGAAAATAGAGATATTTCCAGTAACATAGTATACAAATAATCATGAAAACAATTTACAATAAATAATAACATAATGACTTAACATATCTTTAACATATTTTAAATATAAATGATACAACTAAATTTATGACTGTTTAACTTGTGTTAACTTACTAAGTACCTATATTATAATTTATAATAAATTAATAATTTAATAACTAATAATATAATAATATAAATCTAAATTCAATAAATTTAACAGTTTAGTGAAAATCTGCAGGGTAAAGCATTGTATAGCGGTACCTACTTTAAATATCAGAGATTAAATCTAACTTACTTAATTAGGTAATTAATTACTGAGTTAGGTACTCTATCATAAGCGCAACTGGGGAGGGCTCGGGGGCTTAACTTCCGACAACTATTCATAAGCTCCTCAAGATAAATTAACCTTTGAACTCATACAATATAAATTCAAAATTAAGAAATAATAATAAAGTATTTACTATATTTCTCGGCAAAATAATGTACTTGACACTTACAAATTCACCACTAATACCAACGATATCGCCACGCATATCCCGGAGGAAGTGGGGATTAAGGGGTCGTGACGACTCCTCACTCATAATTGAGCGTCATTTTCAGTCACCAGGTCACCTATACTTTCAATTTGCTTCTAACCATAAAATAGTTTTAAGACTTCTGTAAAAACAAACAATTAGGTACAAATAGAAAAAAGTGTGTAAGGGGATGTCGCTCCGCTATACATTAGTTGTCTAGGCGCTAGAAGGTCGCTATAGCCTATAATGGATAGTATTAAATTATAATTCAATGATATAATATCATTGTATACTAAAAACGATTCTGAGCGGAGATGGTATATTGGTATGTCAGTCTAGGATATTTTTATTTTTTGTTATTACTTATCATTAATACGGTAGCCGGTGAGTTTAGTTTTTAGATTTTTTGGTTACAGAATTAATTACTTATGTAGTACATTGTTTTAAATTTTCAATCCTTAGCTATAAAAGTTTAATATTTAATACATTTTTAATCACAAAATCTTTTCAATTTACAATTTGAGAAATTTTTTCATAATTTTAACCTCTAATGATTATAAAACAAAAACGCACCTATGTATTTTTAATATTTTTCAACTGCTATTGTAATTTGTAACAATTTATCAAAAGTCTTGTATTAAATTTTTATGCTTTTGGACCCAACCAATAAAATGTTATTGTCATTTATAGAAAAAAAAACTAAAAATGAAATAAAATTGAAAATGTCTGTAAACAGCTCAAAACGAGTGGAAATATTTTGAAAATCAATTACACGAATTGATAAAATAAACATATGGTTTATATTTTAAGTGTCTACAGTTATTCGTTTTTGAAATCCAACAAAATAAGAAAATCGCTACATCTACAGAAATCGAGTGAATATCCAATGTTGTAAAAATTTCAACTTCAAACAATCATCAAAATTTAATTTGACTTTCCGGTAGAATTTTTTTTATAAAGATAGACAAACTTATAAGGAATCTTCTATCAAATTTTTAAATCTTAGATATAAAAAGAAAATTTCTTATGAATTTCTAACTCAAAATAATTTGTTGATTTTCGGGATTTTCACAAATTTTGTCAAAATTCTAAATTCAAATGCTCATAAAAAATTACTGTTTATAAACGCTCAACTTTTTTTTTAATTTCCACATAATATAAACGATAGTACATTTTTATGCATTTAAATTTCAATGTTAATATTTTTTAATTCTGATACCTAATATACTGGGTACATTAATTTATTTATGTGCAAAACCACAAAACACCTCAAAGACCTTTACATAGATACATTATAAATGACGTAATAATGTGAATAATAAACTATATACATAGGTAGGTATATGTTATATGTAAGCTACCCACTAATAACAAACAAATTTATAATCAGTGCTAGTATTAGCGTGGTATTTGGGTCTCTATTGCCGCTGGGACCAAATTATATTACTAGCAACTATATTATATAGATACAAATATTTCAAACAACAACGAAAAAAAATATTAATTTTTTCAAGATATTGAGCATTACTGGGAATACTAGCTGTATACGAAATGTCCAATAGGTAATGGATTTTTACCACCGTTAACATAAAACTATATAATTATATACCTCCTGGTGTAGTTTCCCACTTTTTCCCCAAACATTATAATTTATATTTAAATCAAATACGAAAATTTGTATACATTCACCATTTGCAAATATTATTTTTGTTGGTCGGTAGTATTTGTATATAACTTTTTTTTTTTAGTGTTTTATTATAGTCATAATATAATATATTATAAATACATAAATTGTTACGGAAGTTCAATTTGTTGGTACCTAATTAAATGTAATCACGAATCACGCCTTTAAAAATTGTAACATAATACTTTATTGTTGAGAGAATTTTTTTGTTTGGTCAGTCACCTGAGTGTTAAAAAGTAACTTAATTACAATTTACAATTAAAGTTAGGTACTTCTTATTTTTTATTTTCAAAAATATCACTGGAGATTAATATTTACCAATGTTGTCAATATATTAACTAAGTAATGACTTATGATAATCAATAATATATAATTGAATAAAACGTTTTTTTAAGAACTAAATAAAGCAATACACATCTTTTAACACATTTTATTCTTTATTTTAAAGAGTATATTTTGTGGTTTTTTTTTTATTAAATTTGGTAGGCCGTAAGGTAATATAATATGATATTGTGCCAGTCTAACTCTAAACCTTGATAAATAATTAGTGTTATTGATCGCCTTTTATATGGCGATGAAAATACATATTTCTGCTCCCATATTATTATCTCGTTCTTCAAGACCTATACGGTAACGATGTATAAAGAACTGCAGAAGACAGAACCGACTCGGTGAACTATTCTTTTATCCCCGCCATCGTTAAATTTCTAATTTCGTCCAAATTTGAATTTAAACTATCTATAAAAAAATTTTTGTCAAGATTCTAACTTCTGACGCTCATAATAAATTTTTGTTGATTTAAGCTCCACTTTTTTTAAAAAAAAATTTACCAATAAAAAGTTAACAGGAACATAATACATAAATTTTAAATTTTTCGACTCATTGAAATTATTTTTATCGACAATAATTTTAAAAAACTTATAAAAATCGACATTTTCTTATGCCTATAAAAAGATAAAAAAATGTCGGTATATATACCTAGTAAAGAAATAAGAGGTATAGGTATAGTCAAGGTATATATAGAAAATGCTAATATGCACATTAATTGAAAATTATACGTATCTACGGTTTATTTTTTTTAGGATACACCAAAAACCAAAATCGATTTGGTCAAAATCTTTTTGCGTTTTTCAAACACTTTTGAAAACTACTGGAAATTTTCAATGCCGACCTCATCTTAAATGCACCAACTAGATTTTCTTTCCCAGTTTCTCAGCAGAAAAGATACTTAAGTTAAAAATCAAAGCATAATTTCTATTAGAAAAGTGTTAACAAACAGAAAAAAAAACATACATCAATGTGGAATAAGCACATTCAGTGCTCCGCTCAGAATCTAAAATGAGGGTGAGCAATGAGCATATTAATGCTTGGCGAATCAACCTGTATAATATACGTTGTTGACGTAGGACGTAGGTACTGCAGAACATTTTTTACGTTCTGCCGTAGTGTGGCAAATATATTATGCATAAATTATATATTATACACTTTTGGCATATTTAAACAAATTTGCGAATTTATATACCATACATATAAAACACGTACGTCCTCGAAACCACCTTTCCCTCGACTACATCGCACAACCACTCTTATTATAATTTGCTAAAAGCGCTTTCTCCGAGTTTAATATAATAATATATATTATAATCATAATCATAAATTACACAAATATGTATATTCTTATGAGTTCTACCTGATTTAAAACGTGATCGATCGGTGTACATTTGTCGGATTCGTGCTCAAATGGTTTTTTTCTCCATCATTTATTAGCCGGAAACCGGAGTAAACGAGAAAAGGTGTCACATCGAAAACATCACCAATTCAACATGTATAGACAACACAATATAAATGATATACACCAGTGAATCTGAACAAATTCAGTATTTATATATACATTTTTGTATATATTTTTATATTGTATTTTAGATTTTGACTGGAGCGATAATCAAACATGTAATGACTAAAATTATCTTTACAATTTCGACAACATGTGATTTGTATGTGAAAACATGTTTGCTGGCAGAACAATTAATGCTTCAATAATCAACTTCGATGAATGTTTCAGGTAGAAAACTGAATATTTACTTTGATAAGATATTTTTCAGTTTGTTTAACTCGGGGGAGAAAAATACGACAATTGGTTAAAATGTATATATCAATTATTTTAATTATTAAAATAATTGTTTGGTACATATTTATCAAACAGTTAGACCTTCGCTAGTCCTCTCAGAATCTAGTACACTATCAAAAATCCGTGCCCTTGACTTATTACCTACCTAACGGATTTTTTTATTTACTTAGTTCTATACATTTTTTATTATGTTACATTTGTATTATGTTTTCAGCGGGGAGGGTTTAGAGAAAATCGGTAAATGCATAAAAGTAAATAAATACTTATATAATATTATATGGTACGGTTTCTAGGGCGATGAGGAAAAAAAAATGCGAAACCTCATTTTCCTTAAAGAAAAAAACGATCGATTCATAAATATAAATTATAATATTTATACTGATATTATTAGCATAAATTCAGTCCCGTTATACAGGTTATACTATATATTATAATACATACAATATGTACTTGTTATTTATATATTATACCTATTTATTTTAAACGCAATACTTCCACAAACCGTTCAATCCGAACACTGTTGAATATTTTTAAATTTGATTTTTAGCGAATAACTATATAATTATATTGTAGGTCTATACAATTCTCGTTAAAATTTAATGTATAATAACCGTATGCGAATAAAAATCATTAATTTAAACGATATCAATAGTTTCAGAGGATGTCATACTACACACACAATATGATACACGTATAATATATTATGTTGTTCCCCGCGTCTTACAAAACACACCAAATTTACATTCAGCAGAACCAATATTTTGTGTATCCACTCGTTAGCTTTAATATCAGACTGAATTGAAGTAAACCTTCGTAAACCTTATAGGTTTGAATATCGTAGTACGTAGGTTAGTTTGTTTTTAGTATATTTTAATTTTAAAGCGAGTGATACCTATGTCAAATAATACAATTTAAATATACTCATAACTCACTTTAAAATTGAAATATCAACAAAATTGTATGAGGTTCCCTATGGATTTAATTTCCCTATAATTCAATTTATTATTTAAGTTATTAATAGAAATTTGGTTCTGTTGAATGCAGATTTGATATACCTCTGAATTGAAAACCAAAAATAACGATAGCGAAAAAATCGTAATAAAAAGTAATAGGGACCGTTCACCGTACACATGGTAACCACCCTTTTACCGCACTGGTACCCACTGGTAGGAAAAGGAATCTAGGTCAAAATATCCAATTTTAAAAAGTAGAAAAATGTTATCATAAATAAGCACAAATATTTTGAAACGTTGGTATACTGCTCAAATAATATTAAAAAAATTGAAGTTAAAATATAAAATAATTCAATTACGTAGATAATAGATTAGCAGATAAATAAATACCACTATATTTTCTAATAAAAATTAAGTTAAATTTTTTGTAGAAAATAAATAAATGTACACAGAATTTATGAGTCGATTATTTTTTTACATAATATGGTAATATATTGTAAATATGTTAAGGAACTATAGAAGCTTGCAGCTCATGTCAATAGAAAATAATTTAGCAACCAATCCGGTTTCTATATATTTATATATATCTCCCCTTCAATACACCCCTGATTTGAGCTTTTAAATTTTGTTAAAAGCTTATAATAATAATAATAATGAAAATTACAATATATTATGTAATATTACTAAAGCTCAGCAAGCTGAGCTCATAGATCGACTGCTGTATACATACACGCTTGATAAAGGAGTTATATTGCTATTAAAGTAATGTATTTTACTATAAGTACCCAGTACTTAATATCTAGATTGAATTAATTTTAAGGGATAATTTTATAATTTATTATTTGAGCCTATTTTATTAGAAATTAAAGTGTTATATACTAATTTATGTGATTGAATTATTTTACATTTTATTTTATTGTTTTTTAAAATGTTTGTGTTTATTTATAGAAATTTTTTTCTACATTTTTAAATTTGGATATTATGACCATTGGATATTTTGTCCTTGGATATTTTGACCGATTACCTAGGAAAAGTTATACGAGCGAAAAAATAAACGCAACGCACTTATTATCTACCTATTTTCGCTACGTTCGCATCGCAAGCAGTGCACACGAATTCATATATCTAATTTATTATGATTTATGGGTACTTTTCGGTCATCGTACCTGTGATATCTGTCGATCTTTATTGGTTGTCACTAATGGCACGTACAGTGGCCGACCCAGACGACTATAAGATTATAATTAATTATAAATTCAGTCAGTGTTTATTGCGACGTTGAGTTGCGAACTAATGAACTTATACTTAATGTATATAATAAACATATTAATATATAAATCTTATATTATTGATTCGTCTAGAAATATTACAGTACCTACTTCCAACTGTTTAAGTAGTTACCTATTTGTTAAATAAGTATTTGTTGTGAGATATATGAAGGCAAATCAAAAAATATATAACTGGAGTAAACACTTAAAATATTGAACTTTATTATTTATAGAAATTGGCTAACTTATACGTTCGGAATAAATTAACTCTCGGGAACTCATCGGTGTATACAATGTTATGTTAGTTTCCACCCATGTGGATTTCTCTAACACAAAAAAAAACAAAAGTTGGTACTATCTAACTTTTTATTTACTCAAATAATAATAGTGATTAGAACATGCTACATGTCTCCTTTAAAAATATATTTGTACCGTAGCTATAACTGTTTACAGTTTTATATTCATATCCTACATATTATTTATTTACCGTTACAGTTTATTTACTATAATTGATCAACAAGTACCTAACTATAACAACTATATCCACCGCATGTGCGTTCTCAAATAACAAATTGAACCTAAAAGAAATACGATAAACAGTAGTTAGGATAGTACCTATACCTCCCTACCCATAACCTATGTACGACAACCGGATCGAGATTTCCGCCGACAGTCGATCGGCCCCAAGAGGCCACCCGCTATGTAATAATTACCGAAAAGTACCACGATTATATTATTATGTTGCGTATCAACACGAAATACTGAAAAATAATTTTTAAAAAACTGACCTTGGGAGGACGGCACCGGAGGATGTAAAACGTCCGGCACGCTGGGCAATATCAGATTGATGTTCCTGCACTGGACGACTATTCGGGTCGACTGCAGCAGAGTTCCCATCAACAGTAGACGCCACATACTATATAATATTACATATACACCTAACGTATACGTTTGTCGTAGTCGTCTTTGCGTCCGTCGTCCCTACACATGCGATTTCGGGTATGGAGGTGTCACCTTTATTATCTATATCCTATATATTATGAATTATATCATAAAATAAATAGTAGTGGCGGTCTTCGGCGCGGCTCTACCTCCGTCTCTGCAGGGCGGCGCTGGGCGGTCGTCCGGCGGCACGGCCGTGCAGCATCACTGCGGCGGACTGCAGTAAACGCGGTAGCAGTAACAAAATACACGGTGTGTTATATACCTGGCAAACTGCACCTACCGTTACCGCTGTATATATTCGCCGCGCGATATATATTGTTATTACAATAATATCGCGTACCTAGGTATATTACGCGAGCGGCGGCGGCGGCGGTGGCGGCGACAACGGGCCGGGCGTGCAGTGGACAGACGCGCGCGAGACGGAACGGTCGGGAGACGGAAGACTACTGACGGCTCGTTAGAGGTTTAACGATTGATATATAAACGCGGACGCTCGCGCGTGTCTACCTATATAATATGATGTGTGGTGCGCGCGTAGTGTGATCAAATCGACCAGGATGTGCGTGTCGATTTCGACGTACACATGCACACACGTGTATACAGGGTGATTCGCCGTGCGCGATCACCCCCGTTTTCCCCGTCGACGCGACGCATATTTTATTCGAATCGTGATTTTTCTGAATTTTCAAGCGTCTATGGGTAGGCACTAACAGTTGTAGGTAGGTAAACCAGGTCATTTTACCCGCCTACGCGGACCGTTTTCAGATGTTCGGATTTGTTGTACCGTGTCCTGGGTTCAGTGTGTCGCGTGATGGGAGTTGTGCGGCGAAAAAATGTTAGGTAAACATGCAGTTAAAATAGTTAAATTCTACATTGACTTGTTTTTGTAAACCTGTGTAGGTATATAACTGGTCAATAAGATCATAATAATATGAACTCGATAATATCTGTATCATTAGTTATAACGATTGATAACCTGCAATTTATTACTATCTTATTTTACATTTACATTTCTCGCACTTGTGAACCAAATATTAATAAAATGATGTTATTGTTCACGTCAAAATGATATTGCAATGAGGAGTCGCTCAATTTGATGAATGGCAAAAAAAAAAATATTTGTAAAATTTACCTTACCGTCAATATTTACCAAATCCCGATTTCCCATCTCTAGTCCAGTGGCATATGAACTACTTTGAAATGAAAACCACTCATTTTTTATTTCAAAATAGTTTGTTTTTTTTTTTGAAAAAAGTTCTTGTATATAAATCATTTGAATTTGAGTTATTCCAGAGTTATAAACTACTTTTACTAAGGCTAATTTTAGTATTACGAGGATAATGGGTTTATCTGAAATTAAAAATAAATGCAATTTGTGTACATTTATTAGTTATTATGCTCTGACCGTTTTTACTGGTTGTTAATTTGTACCCTGTACTCTGTAGGTAGGTCGTACACTCGTACCTACTATCCTAGTATCCTACTATAATTTTCAAATCATCATAGTCTCTAAATCTTAAAACTTTTTATCGTAAGCTATAGTACCCTTAGTGATTAAGTTTAATAATTAAAATTCATACTCGATCGAATTTCGATTTAAATACGCCTAAAATTTAAAAAAAAAACAGCAATAATGTACCTACAGTCAAAAAAACTGATTCTCATTTGTAAAAGAAATTAGTTTTCATCGATACAGCGCTGCAGGACACTTTTAGAGTGACATCAAAGTGTTTGAAAATGTAATATGGACTTATGACTTTTGAGTATAATAATGGCAGGTTTGGGCACTTAATAATGTTAAAAATCAGGATTTGAATAAATTCGTTATGATGATGGAAACATGGGATCGACCATACTTGGTGAATCACTCTGTATAGCACGCTTGGGCCTGTCTGTCATCGACTGCATCGATTTATAATAACATAATATATCTTTATTATTATACACTGCTGCCGTAGCCGTTTTCGACGTGATCCCAGTGGTTGGCAAAAACTACTTTGATTTAATAAGTCGACCGCCGCCGCCGTCGACGACGACGACCGATTTCGTATATTTGTAAATGAAAGTTCGCGGACGTACCTATATATGTATAGCTGCTATTATCGATCATTTCGTTTTGTCAAATTAGGTACGGCTGCTTCATTGTGTCGATATATACATATAAGCACGCGCGACGATGACAGTATACCTGTATACAGGGTGATCCGACAACTATGCTCACCCCCATTTACTCCTCAAGTTGTGCATTTATTCAAATTCTGATTCCTAGAAATTTTAGGTAGGTAGGTATATACTAATGACTTAAGGAAAATATTTTTAAATACTTCGATTTTTCGATTATTTAAGGAGTGCCTAGTATGATGATACAAATTTCTTTTTTTTTCAAACAAAAACGACTTATATTACTGTAATTCATTTAGCAGATGATTTTTTTAGGTCCCCAGTTAACAGGGAAATTGATGATAATCGTTTAAAAAAAAATTAGTATCGCCATAGGGGACACATAACCTTGAATGGTACACCTAAGTAAAAAATCTGAGTACCCATTTGAAAGTAAGGTATACCTGTACTTGAAAATTCCAAAAATTATAACTTTAATGAAAGTATGGGGCATATGCCACGTGGATCACACTGTATAATAGAAATGTGTACGCTGGTACAGTAAATAATATATATATATATTGTTTTATGTAGATAAAATGATAAATCTATGTAGTATAGGAACTATATACTATATCTATAATAATATTATGCGCGCGTGACATTAGTTGAGCACATTATAGCTTATGATATAGCGATTAGCGGTACATACTTGGTTTTCGGACGTGATATATTAATATACGTATACCTATTTCTATACTACGAAACATCATGGAACCGTTCGCAAAAAGCAAATGCCATACGCTCAGACCCGCCAGCAAGATAATCTACGAGCAATGCATAGGTATATTATACGCCTCGTGAATCACACTGTATAATAGAAATGTGTACGCAGGTACAGTAAATAATAAATATATTATTTTATGTTGATAAATCTATGTAGTATGGGAACTATACTGTAGATAATAATATTATACGCGCGTGACATGCCAAGTGAAGAAAAATATAATTTCCCTCCAAATAAATGGTCGTACTACCGTCACCTTAAAAATATTTACTATTTTAATGCTTCGTATTAAAAAATAATGGAAACAATTTATTCGACATTTTATTTACTATGTAGCAAAATAAAATAAAAAACTTTTTTATAGGTGTTCTTCAAAATGATAAAATTTGATGATTCTTGTCACATAATTTAGCTGTAAATTGTAAACATCGACCGTACCCGTACTAAGTAGGTACCACAACACATATATTTTGTTATGCTTTTCTTCTAAAAAGTGTTATTTTGGGACTTTGTTCATATTATGCTCTCTGCGCCCAGACCATAAAATAAAATAGCTTGATATGATATAGATGAGACACATGACGCTTTAGTACTATTTTATAATTTGACTATAATATAAAGAAAAGGGGAAGTAGAATATTGTTTTACAATATATTTGTGTGTATAGGTAAACATAATCAAATATAAAATAAATTAAAATTAAAAACCATTGAGATAAAATATTGGTTTTTATACCTAATAATTTAGAACTACAATAACTTAAATTAAAAATACAATATACAAATTATCGAACATTTTTTAATTATCTATAACTATATTATTAATATTAGCTATTAGAATGTTTTATATACGAATACAAATCAAACAATTAGTGCAATCAATCAAAGGTAGATTTAAACTTTGTAGATTCTCACTTTCATAAAATTATTGTGGATTTACGCTTAACTTTTTTTTTGATTCCACTAATGAAAACTTATGAGAATCCTTATATTACATTTTCAAGTTCTTTAACCTCTCAAAATATTTGTTATTAAAAAAATTAAAAAAATGTCTTATGTCTATAAATAGCTCAAAACGAGTGAAACTGTTTATCCATAAACAAAATAAATATGCTTTTATATGCTGTAAAATTCTATTACAAATATTTGGTGAAAATTGTAAGTACTTACTGTTATTTGTTTTCGAATACAACAAAATAATAAAATAGATTTTGTCAAAAACTAGTTTCAGTTAAAATTCCTGTTTTTTTCCCTATACTCCTCTCGACTATTCTGAAAAGTAGAGGGTCAGCACTGGAACTGAAGCTCCCTCCCAAAAAAAGCATATGCTTATTAAACCATATTGTTTTGTCGCACAAATTTAACACAATGACGAATAATGATGGTTTTTTTTTCAAATTGTATCATTATAATATGAGTTAATCATTAACTTGTACTTGTAGACGGAATTCGCCGATCAATTATTTCGTTGAAAATTATTTTTAGATTTATAGAAAATTATAATAGGTAGTGGTAATTGTTTACTTGTGTTTAAGGAAAGTAAGAAAATTTGTAAGCCTATCTTAAACAAAAATCCTGAATTGATTGAAAGAAACAGCTTAGAATGTAAAATTAATACAATAGGATTTTAATATTTGGAGGAAAACAGACATGATTCTAGTTCAGAAAAATATGTGGATGCAAAAGGAGGAAAACAAAGGAGAAGTGGACCTATTTACTTATAAATTAATTTTTTATGTATATAAATTATTATTTCATATTACCTATTCATTATATCAATCGATTTTCTCAATTTGCTCTAATGAACGTTAAACTGTTGTGATATGTTTTGGCGGTGGCATAAATAATAAATAAATAGTGCTGTCTGTGCAGTTTAAAATTGGACGTTTTTCACATCGAAGGTAAACAATGAATAAATTGATAAACAATTTTTGAGGCCACCCCATTATTATATGTTTTGTCAAAATACCTAGGTATTCCACGTCAACTCAAACAAGTACAATTTTAAAATGTATTGTTATATATTTATTATAGTATATACCCACACAGCAATTTAGTTGAAATCTAAACTATCGTTACTGCATTAAGACGAATACAGATCTAACGATTTGGGATTTACGTTGACTCGTATAAGTCTTTTGGTTCAATCTGCCTCCGGTTTTTTGTGCTCACGTCAAAAATATGTTCAGAATTAAGAAGTGAAAAATCATAAAGTGAACCATTGCCATTGTGTTTGTATATTATTATATATTTCAACTTGTTTAAGTTCAAACGGAACACCATGTGGAAATAGGAAGATTAATTATAACCCGAGCTAAGTCTGGCATTAGGTACAGGTCACAACTCACAGCTCGTACATATTATTATATTATATCCAAATTAAAATGATGCAATATGATGGGTCACGGACCACGGTAGTACTTCGCACACTGTATGTTACAACGCGTAAACCTAACCTTTTATCATTGACTAGAGTGTTTTTCAACTAAAATTATGAGTTCCTAAACTTGTAAATTGCAGTTTCGGTAGGTACCTTCACGGAAACAAAATAAAAATTAGGTATTTAAGGATATAAAAATGTGCCTACTTTGTTATAAACTTACCAAGTCACAATTAAAGAAACAATGCCTTTATTTTTAAATCAAAACACTTGGACATACGGTATGTTCAATTTAAACGATTTTTTTACAAAAAAATTTACTCATATTAGTTAATCGCAATATTATCATATTAGTTATTGACTTTTAACTTATAAGTCAACACTGATATATTTCGGCAATCCGGCGTACCGTAGTACAGTATTAAATGCGAGGTATGATGAAAATAGGTTCTTAAGTTGGTCTAAATAATTTGAAAATTTCACTGTGTATATAGAAAATAATAATATATGTAGGTAATGGCAAAACATTTCGAAGTCTTGACGATTAATATTTTTTTGAATTTCAACAAAATTACTTAAATCATTATGAATAAAACTAGTTTAACTTTCTTTAAATATCAAATTCAGTACATCGACATTTGGACATAAAATACCTATGAAAAAAATATACCTTACTTTTATCCGTAAATTGCTGTAAGAGGAGCCTTTTTTTGACTTCCTATATCAAACATGCAGCTACAGTTTTTGCGTTTAAATATTAGAAATATTGTAAATAATGTGTATTAGGTACCTATATTATTCACTTTCTACAAAATATTAATATATTCAATGTGACACGTGTAACAAATAAGGATCGGTTGCAGATATAGAAGTCCGTTATTCCAATCCCTCTCATAAGGGGAGGGGAACATCAAAATGTTGCCCCAGGGCGTATAGTATATCATTATAGTGTCTAAGTGCCTGTCGTCGATACGCCGCGAGTTTAGTAGACACTTGTTGACGGGGACCGTTGCCGCGGCGTATACGTCACACGACCTCAGCGACGGCTCACGATCAAGATCAAGAGATCTCGGATCGCGCCACACTGAACCAGTACCTTCAACTTGACCTGCTCACCGCGCGGGTGACCCACTTATCGTAAAAATTTACTCGTCTGGAATTCCGATTGTGGTCCGCCTGCTGTTTGAATTGTGTGTGTGTGTGTGTGTGTGTGTCATATGTCTTGTACTCTAACAGATTATTTACACACACATTCACACGTTCCATATATATATGTGTACAATATACATGTTTCGTTTGTGTCTACAAGTTTTTCCATATATATATGCGCAGGACCACGCAAATCGTTATTATTATTTTATTTATTTAAGTAAATATGGATACCGCCTAGCTGCAGTGTTTTTTTTTCACAGATCACGAGTTTCGTAAGTACCTAACAGATCTCGACGCACGCAGGTGTTTCAAAATGTTTTATGAAGTTCACGACTAAAAAAAAAAGCAAAAACAGGACAAGAATTGCTGATCTTGAAATCGGACGCGAGAGACTAAAATTTGATTAAAATATATAAAACAATATATAACAATAAATCGAACATTTTTCCGATTTTGTTTTAAAAAAAAGACCCTACCCTGCGTTCCAAGTCGTTTTTATCTTAAGCGACGACCATTTATTTTTCAAGAAACATCAAGTCCGACATCCAGACACGCGTGCAATTTTATGTACCTATGAATTATGCCTTATATCTATTATGGAAAAAAATTAGCAAATAATATATTTAAAAATAATTAATTATTATTAAATTAAATAATTAATAATCATAGGTATATGTGTTTACTGCGTATAATACACTAATTCTTAAATATTGGGTACGTGCCAACATACAATGTATGACTGTTCGAGCTTATGTATGAGAATAGAAATATTCATCAAGAGGAGGAGGACTACGGCCTGAAACAGATTCAGTTTTAATAAATATAGAAAGAGAATTATACCTATATAACGCAATAAGATGTGATACTTTATACTTAAATGTTGGCATCGAAATATAGGTGTATTCATTTATATACAGTAATAGAATAAATATTAGACTTCTTTTTGTTTAATGACGAGGCACACGGAGAGACGCTTTTACTTTATGGTTTATTATTTATATTCAACTTTTATTTTATAAGATTCTCTAGCTGCGACTACAACTAATTCCCAGGGTGGATAATATCCACCTTGCTAGGTACTTATTATTACACCCATGATAACGACTCACCTTGGATCGATACGTACATACAAATTTTCAATGGGTGAACGAGAGGGAAGAAAGGGGTAGTATTCAGTGCCGTAGTCATGGAGCCATGGGGGGGGGGAGTGGGCCATGCCCTCCCCCCCCCCTCCCATCGACGGTATCAACGTTTTTACATAATTTTATTGTTTATTTTATAAGTACGTGTAAAAAATTCTTTGAATTCGCTTATGCTCTTAATCTTATTAATTTATTTGATAGCAATTTTTTTTACCAGCTTTTATCGAATCGGTTATTTTGTCTATCCTAAAGGCTAACCCCATCAGTTACCATGTTCGGTAAAGTGTATACCATGTTTATGTTTTAAATCAGTCGCTGAGGCATATAACACGTCAACATGGGCCGAGTTCGTATTACTTCGTTAATCGTTCCGTCAAATACTATAAATTATAGATAAAATAGACTTTATTTTGTTCTGTTTTTCAGCGTACGCTGAGTGCCGAGACTGACTAATAGTTTTTATATTAGTAGAAATTAGTAAAGTTATTATTAGTAAAAACTTTTTACTTCACCAAGACGGTTGCAAGACGTTTAGACGTGCATTGTGCAATAATTTATTATTGAATATTGCGATATTTATAGTTTTCACTTTTCGTATACACATAAGTTATTTATTATATTTTCTCGATTTTATTATCGAAGAACTTTCAGGTAATTACCTGTTAGGTACTCAATATATAAGTAGATAGTGTTAAATATTTTCAGCACGAACATAGTTAACCTTCTAAACGCCATACCCAGTTTTTAAACAATTTTGTTTCGAGGAGCTGAATTTGAAAGTAATTAAAAATAATACCACTTTTTTTTTACATAATTAGCTAAACCATAAAGCTGGAAAAATTGATGCGGTAGTTTCATAAAAGTAAAAAAACTGTTTTTATTGTTTTTTATTATTAGGTAGCAGGTATATGTTCTTTCACACTGGATATATGATTATGTAAATATAAAAGGTTTGTCGTCAGTATCTACCTACTTACTTATAATTCCTGCAGGTAAGGGAGTATTTAATAATTTGTTTTAATAAATAAGTTAAAAAACATAGGTAGGTAGGTATTAATTAAAATTTAAAACAAAAAACAAAAAAAGTTGTTATGTAATTTTTATTCAGAAAAAATTTTCAATGAGCAGTATGGTAATACTATAATACGGCATTTTCTGTGAGCGTCCCTGGTAGTCGGTTCCATATATAAATATATAATAGAAAAATATATATGTAATATATAAGGTACAGTATATATAAGCAATATATAAGGTACAGATTATATATATATATAGGTGTGTAGATGAGAACATAAGCTATTATTTTTAAATTGGCTGAAAAAAGGTAAGTTATTTCAACAGAATTAACCAATCAAAGTTTAGCTTCTAAACTTTAGGTAGTCGAATTAAAACGTTTTAAAAAAAATTAATTTTTTTATTATAGCTGGGATAAACCTTCGGATTGTCGCGAGCAGAACAAGTTAAAAATGATTGTGTACCTATTTATACGGTATCATATGAAATTATCCAAGCCTGGGCAGTGGACAAGGTTATGATAATTTTTAATTGAGTTAAATTAAGTCGATAGAAAACATTTTAAAAAGTTTGAAATTAATAGTTACCTTAATTTTATTTTTGCTCAGGTAGGTTAAAAGTTAAATGAGAACTTACAATTGACTTATCAAGTTAAGTTAAGTTATTTATTGATTTATTTTTTATATACAAATAGCCAGTCATATGGTTTAAAATAATACAAATTAAAAAGTAAATGTTTATCATTTATGCAAGTGTTTATGCGTCACCAATAATTATTTTATTTTATTTATAAATTAACGAAATTGAATTTGATTAAAAGTAACTCGTTATTTGTAAGTATATATTAATAAAAATCAGTTGAAAATTAGGTTGATGAAAATAAAATTTTAAAAAGTTAAAATTAACTCAACTTGTGGCCTAGACTTGAAATTATGTACAGTTACAATAATGCTTATAGTCTGGCAATGATGATTTCATTCGGCGTGGATACAGACACAGCACGGTCCGAGGTAGGTAGGTATATTGATGGTGCCACGCCGACAGGCAAAATAAATCAGCGGAAACTTTCGGGAACTTAAAAATTTCGAGTCACAGCGGAAACCCGGCTAGCTTGTCGATGTTATCGCCTATACTTATATCCGGCGAGTGCAGCAGATTTTCCGCGAAAACGAATACAATATTATCGTGTCATTGGTTCAACAATATATTATTTAGTTTCCAACTTGTTTTTTTGCATGTCGCCGAGTCATCTTGTCGAGAGTTGTGTGAATTCGCAACGACGGAATAACAACGCACGTCGTCGTCGACCTGACATCGTAAAGTGAATAATATATCATGCAAATATTCTACGGATACGCCACGCGACGGTGGTACAATGTTAAATTGTTTACGTGCTGCAGGTGTATAAATAAGTAATAACTATAAATGTATATACCCAATAAGTATATTATACTGGCCGAAAATCCGACCGGTCGGAGAAACGGTAATAGCAATAAACAGACAAAAAATACGAAGCAAAATAAAGCTTGCAATAAACAATGTTTATTGTTGGTAGTGTTCTGTAGGCAATTGTGTTCCGTTTCGTATGCTGTCCCAAAACCATTGTGCACACACGGCAGTGGCGCTCGAACTCTTCTTCTTCTCCTCCTCGTCCATCGTTGGTTTCTGTTTTAACACAAGTGAAATTTTTCGTTATAATACGGCTAGGATGGAAGGGTTAAAGTGGGGGGGGGGGCGCAGCGAGGCTCGGTCCCCCTACGTCCGATTGCGCTTATAAGGCGCCCCCTTAATTCTTCCAACGGTATACGGAGAGGCCAGGCCCTGGTTTAGTGAAATAGGGGCCCTGTGCACTATTAACTTTTTTAACGAAAAATGTAAAAAATATGACTGATATAACTATAGATGGCTTATTAGTGATTAGTGTATGCTGCGGCGGCCTCCTTAAATAGGTTATAGTTACCACTTACTAAATCTTATTAAAAATATCTTTTATTTATGGTAGCAAAGTATAGAATAGGAAGGCCGAAGGGGCCCTTCAAATTTGGGGGCCCTGTGCTAGTGCACTGCCTGCACATGCGTAAATCAGGGCCTGGGAGAGGCGTTGAAGCACCGTTAAAAATATTTATTTATTTTTGGAGTCTTATCATTTTATATTTTCAGTAAAATGAAGACATATTCATAAAAATAATTGGCCTGATGAGCCTCGCAACTAGGGGGGGAGGGTCGAAAGTAAAATTGTCCAATAGTTTTCAAAAGCGTCAGGGAAACCAAACAAAAAACTAATGAAAAACCGATATTTTTACACAAAACAAGTTTTTGAAAAAATCTATTTTCTTTTTTTAGTACAACTCTAAAAAAATAACCGTCCATACATGATATTTTAACTGAATGTTTATTTTACCAATTTCTATGCACTGTAAAATTTAAGAAACATTCTAACTCTTTTTGTGCTATTTATAGTTATAAGAAAATTGTGAGTTGTATTAGTTTTTTAAAATGTTCATCAACAACAAAACTTGAACATTTAATACAACTTATCAACGTTACTTAAGTTATTGTTAGTGGAAATTAAAAAAAAAAAGTTGAGCGTAAATCCACAATAATTTTTTACGATCGTCTGAAGTTAAAATTTTGATGAAAAGAATAAAAACCTTGAAATTTTCAAATTATTATTTAGTTAAAAAATTATAAGATTTTATAAAATTTGTTTCTGGTACTGTGTGGGGGGACGGTTGACTGGAACACGTTTGTATGTGTGGCAAGGATGTGTTGCTAAAAACCAGGATGGTCACCCATCCGAATGCTAGCAACGACGGCCGGTACCTACGCTTAGAGCGTTGGCGCAGATGAAGCGTCCGGCCGCGCCTCACCAAACCACAAAATGTTGTATTTATATAGCTATGAATTGAAAGTTTAAAAGAAGGATTATCATAAATATTTCGAAGAATAACCAAAAAATCTAAAAAATATATAACTAAGCACAGTTATCTCTTACACACATTTTAATAAATTTTAATCGATTTATGATTGAAATCCAATATTAAATATTAGAATAACGACTTGAGTTATTTTATTGTAATTTAAAAATATTATTCGTGGATACTTGAAACTTGCAGAGTACATAATTATATTGTATACAGCATAGGCTAATAGTAGAAAATTACTTTAATCACAACAGTGTCACAATGTAGGTTGGCAGACCGTTTTCGCTCAGAATCGTTTTTCGTATACAATGATTTTATATCATTGAACTTAAATTTAACATATCCCATCTATTACGGTGGGTATCCCGACAATTGAGCGTAAGAAAAAGAGCGAACGCAAATGAGCGAATGAAAAAGAGCGAACGCAAATGAGCGAATGAAAAAGAGCGAATAAAAATATGAGCGAAAACATATAATATTATAATATAATTAAAATAAATTATTTGCACATACATATAATTATAGAATTAATGCATTTATATTTCATATTTGTCATACTTATTGAATATTGAATTAATACATTTATACTTGCAATGAAAAATTATACGCGATACTTTTTAAATATTGAAGTCACGGAATAATATAATAAAATTGTAATACGCTCAATTGTCGTAGAACCATTACAGTGGCTCTCTAGACACTCGATGAGCAGCAGAGCGTAACCCACTTACCCGTTTTTTTTCTTGACACTTTTAAAAACTATTGAGAATTTTAAATTTTGACTTTTCGATTGCACCGACCAGAAAAAAAACACACATCATTCTACAATGGTACAATTCATGTATTGCTACGCTCAAAATCTAAACTACTGAAAAATCAGTATCAGTAATGCATGCATTTTAAAACTGATTATGTACTATGTATACCTTATATAGTTATATGTATATTAACACTTACTCCAGTTGATCGATTTTGCTCTTTTTTTGGTACAATAACATGTGTAGGTGATAATTCATCTGGTGAATTTAAAGGTGTACCTCCATAGCTAAATGTTTGTATTAAGAAAAATCAAATTTAAACAAAATAGTTTTATTATGATTTTTTTTTAAACAAAAATATATCTAAATTTAATTATAATGATCTAGTGATCACTAGGGTGCGAATTTGTGTGTATTTACATACTTCTCGTGAATGATAATATTCCATTGATTCCTTTACAGAAATATGTTACAGGACTATCTGATTATTTTAATCTATGGTTGAATTTACGTATTTTCATATATTTAATCTTAATCGCATATTTTTACATATTTTACTCGAGTTACATATTTTTTTTGTTAAATATTGATCTATTTACAAAATTGATAATGTATTGCCGTTTTATATTATGTGTTATCTTCTCCAGGTTAAATTAGATCAGAATTTTCCGAAGTTGATTTTTTGACGTCAACTAAAAAAAAATGTTTTCCTTAAAGCACCCAGTCGTGTATATTTATTTAAAGAAAATTACCCCCAAACACCTATTCCCCCCGATAACTCGCTGGGGTACTTGGTTACATGCTGCTGCATATTGTTGCGACAATTTTAGTGTCATTGAAAATGTGATTTCCAAACTTGAAATAGATGTTGTTTCAGCATCCTAACTCCAATGAATAACTTAGTTTGAATGTATTCCTAATTAATGTTTATAAAATAGTAGTAAAATGTAGTGTTGTATAATTTATATTTATCAACTTATTTAATATACTCATTTTATAATTTTTTTTCGAGAATAAAAACATTTTTTTTTTACATATCTTGTATTTTTAATTACATATTTGGATAAAATTAAATACATATATATGTACATATTTTTGAATTTTGAATACCCACAAATCCGCACCCTTGTGATCATATATCATACGTTAGTGATTTGTGATCCAAACATTAAAATGTTGACATTTTTCGATAATAATTGTTTATTGCAGTACCTATATGGCACACGTACTACTCCATAGTGGTAACTTCATTATTTTGTATTAAGTTTTGGCTGTATTAATAAAACTGAATTATATGTACGTCGGTAATGAATTTAGTATTTATTTTAAAGCGTAATAAAAATAATAAAAATTATGATTATTATAAATTAAATCTACATATATTAGGTGTACTCTATATGCAAACTGGTTTTTCGAAATGATAAATTCCTAAGTCCCCGAGAGTCGTTCTTCGTCGGAACTACAATTGTTTGTTTAAAATAATTTTAAGTACCAAAGACAAAAATAGACACAATAGTATGAATACAAAATCAAATTTAACTAATCTTATTCACGCTCGTAACTCAATTGGTTCATTAGGTACAGAAACACGTTTTGAGAATGTTTATTCGGGGTGAATACAATTATAAAAATGACTATTTATAACTTTATACCTACTAAATGCACACACTGTGATCCATAAGATGTATAATGTAGGATTTTTGTAGTTCCGGATGCAGACATGGTGTAGGACGTAGTACACAGAGAACCTCGTATATTCTATACCAATACATTTTACATAAAGGCATGTATATCCAGTAAACGTTACATTGTACACACCAACGTACGAGATAAATGTAACAGGTATAAGTAGGTAACGGTTTAAAAAGGATACGCAATAAAATATCGTAAAAACGTATTTTTAGAAATCGAATCTGGCACAACAACTCGGATTCCAGTGAATAAATCAGGCAAACGCTAAAAAGTAAAAAAACAAAATACAAATGTACACTTATACCTATTGTAAACTGTGTATGGCTTAAAGTCCAGTGCAACACACTCAAAAATAAATATGGGTAACATGTTGAATGGAAAATATACCACCCACCAAGTTGTTTTCAAAACCAAACTCCCAGGGTCTTCGTCTCACTACCCCTTAATTCCAATTTTCGAAGCATTGTTAATTATTATTACAACCTACAATGTTAATTTAATATTTACTATGGTATATTAAATTTAAAACTAAATTATACCTCATAGTAATAATACGAAAGTAAGAAATATTGAAATATTCAATGTTCAATTGAATCAAATATAAGTATTTTTTAGGATCTTATACTTCAAAGATCGTGTCCGGTAGCAAATTAGACCTAGTTGGTATTTTTGGGATGGCAAAAATAAAAATTATCAATACTTTACAAAAAAATCAAGAAAAACAAAAAAAAAAAATCACTGAAATTAGGGGAAAATATTTTACATTTTATATAAAACAAGTTTTGAACAAGATCAATATGCTGTAATTCAAAAATAAATTACTGTATATACTTTAAATATTTACCAATAATTCATATTATAGTATTTACCATTAACTAGACATGACACAATTTTCAAAATATTTTGACATGCTATTTATAGATACTAATTATTTTAATTTTTACTAATTTTAAGTACGATAATATTTGTAGTAAATATGAAAATGCTCATAAGTGGTTCAAACAGCAATTAAAAAGTATCAAAAATACTAGGTCAAATTTATTTTGGGTAAAAGTCAGTTCAAATTTTTACAAAATTCATAAAAATCGGGTTTGTATGGAAAATCCATTAAGTATTTGATGTAATAGACTTATAAAGGATAAAGTACTCACTAGAACTCGGTACTTCCAAATACTAGCAATATTATTCTATAAATAATTTTTGAACGTAATAGATATTTTGAGGACAGCAAGACAACTCCAAACCCACCCATCTAAAAATCAGCGGTTGCAGCTACTACCCAAGAACCATTTAGTGTACACCACTGGTTTAATTTTATTGGTAGTTATGACTATCAGTTATTACTTATTATGACCTATTTTCTTTGGTCCTTTGAACATCATTATACATAATTTCTACTGTATTTGTAAAACGTTTACCAAAATATAATTAAACATAAAATAATATTATGGTGATAAAATATAAAGTTATAAACAAATGAGAAATTTTACCCGCTGTCGTTCATCAGAAAGTTTAGCTCTTTTAGCAGGCATTTCAGTATTCATTTTTAACTGAGAAGATTCTGTAACAGCTGTTTCCACAGTTCTCTAGAGTAAAAAAATGTTTTTGTTATTACACGAGTTTGTTAAATTGTGGGTTACATAATAAGCAAAACATACTATAATATAATGCTTAATTAGAAATTTTTAAAGATATTTAACTAAACTTGAATGTAATATTGATATTATCTAAATAATATAATAATATATTCCTAAAGCTCATAGACAAATAGAAAAAATTAAAAGGATTCATGCAATAAGCAGTTTGACTATAAAAAATATATCTTAATTTTTATTTTTTGTATAGGTATGTATTTATTATAAATTTATAGCAAGCAACTATAATGCAACTATACTGTACTGAAGCTTTTCTAACCGACAACACTAATTTCAAGAATAATAAAAACTGTTAATATAATATATTATAAAGAGATAACTAATAATAATTAATAATTTTCTGTACCTTAAGTTTTTTTCTTTTATCTGGTGACGACTGTGAGTCATTGTCAGAACTAGTGTTCTTTTCTGGGCTTAGGTTTGAAAAAATATTTAAATTATTAGTTTCTTTGGATGCTTCATATAAATTCTAAAAATAATTTACATACAATTAAAAAAAAAAAGTTAGAGTAAAGACTCAAATTATAAAAGGTACTTATGTTTTAATAGTGTCTCGACTTACTTGTAATTCACTTAATGATGTAGCAGTTTTCCAATCTTTGTCATTCCTAATTTTAGTTACTCTAGGGAATCTAATTGATATACCATTAGCAGTATGCACTTCAGCTTGAGAGAATTCTGCTCCTGAAATTTCCCAAACTGGCATTTTCTACAAAAAACATACAAAGTTTAAATTAATACATTTGTATAATTAAAAAATAAATTTAAATATTTGTGCGTAGAAACGTATTCAGAATCTTAGGTTTCCCGCTTCAAACCCCCCACTAACATTTTAATATTGAATAAAGCAAAATAAACTAATTTATTTTTGCAAACAATGATTATGTATAATGTCTGTAACAATAACTATGAGTTAAAATATAAGAGTAAAAATTGCTAAATTTATTTCCGAAATTAATCAAATGATAATATTTTAATTGATTTTGTCATTGTTGTTATTTACAGAATGATTTTTTACATAAACAAGTTATTCTAAAAACTATTAACACTTTTAATATATATTTTACATAAAATAAAATTATTCAAACACAATTGAATATTTTTATTCTATATCATTATCATATTTTAATTTTCTTACCATTAAAAATGTATGTTGTAATATATTCGTATTATTAATTTTTTTCAAAGTATGCAAAAACATACAAAAAAAAAAAAAATACCACCATTTACCTCTTCATAAGCTTTGTGGATATTAAATAAAAGTAGACATACGAATTTGCAAAAAAACATACCAATGCATATAAATCCTAACTCTACATATAATAATTAGAGTGAAACCTCAAAATAATGGACACTCTTGGTCACTGAAATTTATCCGCCACACAGAGAAGTCTGTTAGTGGAGGTTTCACTGTATTATAAAATAATAATAAATCATATGTTAGGTATATTATTATTGTTATTATATTGTAAGTCAATACAAATGGCCGATGTACAGTAAAATAGTGTAAATTGGTTTGTAGTATCAATAGTTTAAAATTAGTCATACATCTTTTAATAATTACATCGTGTATAGAAAATAAAAATAAAGATTAAATAAGATAAAAAAGTTTTATGTCCCTACTTTTAATATTTATTAAATTAAAATACAATAATTTGAGGCTAAGACCATCAAAGGAAATATTGATAGTATTCATTTAATACCCAATATTTTTTACATTAAAACATTAATTGTCTATTTAAATTAAATAAGGTTTTAGATAGAGTGAACATATTCATCAAAATTTATAAAAGCAACAAATTAAAAGAATTCAAAATGTTAAAATATCCATAAATAAATTAAAATTAGTTAAATTTAGAAATTTTTATTGATTACAGAATATAATAACGCGGTATGGTTTCAACGTTTCAAGTTTCTACAGTAGATAGTAAATTTTAAAAAAATATCCTTCAAATAGTCAAAACACTCAAAACATTTTTTCTAAGCTAATGTATTACTTTAATTTTCATAACATTTTTTATACATACTTTAGGATCTTCTGCTACAAAATCAGGAATCATAGTTTTAGTGCATTTCAACCATTCTGGAACTTTTTCTGGATCTTTACTAATTTTGATCATTTTTAATTCACCCTGAAAAAATCAAGAACTAATATATTTATCAATATACAACCTATCATTTATTAACTAAATTCATCAAATACGGTATAAAAAAATTTTAATTGAAACAATTTACCATGATAGTTAAATAGAGATAAGAGTAAAGGAAAATTTTGTTTATTTTTTTTAAAATTGAGTCACCCCTCATTTTAAATGGTTTTTTTTTTAGTGTAATAGCTTTTATTTGAGCAATTCCATTTAAATTTTTAGTATTATTTAGTATAAAAATGTTCTGAAAATAATAGAAACTGACAAACATCATATTTTATTTGAAAATATGAATAATATAGAATGATACCAAAAAAGTGTAGGGTTACTTAATATGAAAAGTATCTTTTTTTGAATATTTTCTACAGGTAAGTTACACGTCTCAATAAAAACTTAAAAATTATGAAAGCTATAAAAAGAGTTGTAGGGTGATTCTGGAATGGTTCTAGGAGCATGTAAAAATTACAAAATCCATTAAGTATTACATTATTAGTTCAAATTGACTAAAAAAAAATGTATGCTAACTAACATTTTTTTGTAATAATAATATATAATATTTGTATCTCAACTTATTTTCAAATCAATATAACAATAAACAAAATTGAATAAAACACAATATTTCGAAATGACTATTCTGAATTATAAGTGAAATGTTTAAAATTGATTCTGACAATCCGTTTGATAAAACAATAGGTAAGTATTTAAAATTTAAGATTTAAATAAAATTCATTACCTGTAATCTTTCTAGTGTCTTATCATCGTGACCACCATGTACTTTTGTCACTGTACACCATTTTTTTTTTGCTTCATTATAGCAACCCATTAGAAATATGGACATCATACCACCTGTTTTTTCAATACACAGTATAAATCACAATGTTTCAATTTAAAATTACTGTCATAATATATACCTTTATTCCCAGTACCAAACCAAGCACCAAGAACAACAAGATCAGCACTATCGGCCATTGACCCATCAAATAAGTAGTCTTTTTTTATTTTTTGCCAATGTCGCTTTCCAGGCTCATAAACTCCCTAAAATTCAAATAAATGTATAAAATATTATACACAACAAATATATACTAATATGTTATAAATGGTATAGCTTTAATCAAATTAAGTTTTTGAACTAGACTCTGTTTCAGGAGAGAAAGTACACATTTTTTGTTGGTGTTGCGCATCTCCCACAACTTTTGTCCGTTCAGTTACGCTTGTCAAATGTTCCGCGATTCGACCAATGGCCGGGAACGACACATTCACAGCTGGTGATAAGGATTGGGAGAAATTTGGCCACTTGCTAAAGCGGGCATCAGCCGTTAACGCGAACCGTGTATCTTCTCTCGTGGAATAGAGTATAGATAATTGGATATTACGCCATGTCAAAAGATCTTAATTTTGATAATTTTAAAACACAATTTATTTTATAATTGTTAAGAGTCAAGAAAGTATGAATATCATCATTCACTTAAAAGTTCTTAAGTACTAAAATAAAAATTAGGCAAAGTAAAATTAAATTCATAAAGATAGTATTTAAACTAATACAATGATTTTCATTGCTATTAACAACTTACATTTGTATTTAAAAATCTTTAAATAATAATATCTGTTTTCAATAGAAGATAAATAACGCGGTTTACATTGAAAATCAATTTTATGTAACATTCATATGATGGAACTTTCAATGAAATATAAAAGTTAGGTTATACTATCCACAAAAACAAAAACAGAGTTTGAGTCTTAACATTTTTATTTAACATGAATAATTCATAAATAAAATAATTGAGAATGCATTGATTTATCATAGATCCCTGGTATTATTGTATCCACTGACATTTGTCACATCTTGAGCACTTTAAAATACATACTAAACACTTATACTTGAATGTTAAATTTAATGTTTATATCAAATCAAAAAAAAAAATAATAAGTTTTTTAATTAATAATAAATTATATTTAAATTTAAATTTTATGTCATTTAATACACTTACTGTAAGATCCTTTAATACTAATCCTTCTAGGCCTTGTTTCAATACATGTTCTACCATTATCTTAAGTTCTTTTGTGTTCTAAAATAAATGTTGAAAAATTTATAATTTAAATGTATAAGTTATTATTTAACACTGTGCATTTCGAAAAAATTATACTGACGTGCAATTCTTTAACTTCTGAAAACATGATATGTCCCTTGATTGGAGTCATATTCTCCAATAGAATTTTCCTTCGTTCTACAATTGTTCTGAAATCCATTAATTTGTTCCATATTATAGATTAAACAAGTACAAATTATGTAATATTAACTAACTCGTTTTATGCTTACAACTTTCATATTTATACTTAAGATTTTGAAAATGGAGTTTTTTTCTCCATAAATAAATAAATAAATATATGATACACAAGTACATACTATGTAATACTATAGACCCCCTCTCCCCCACAGCACATAATATAATACTACTTTAATACTATTGAGTATTGATTACTATAAAATCATATTATGTTATGGACAGTCATGGACCAAATACTAAGCTACCGGCAAACCTCAGAAGTGTCCAAAAAAATGAACACAGGCAATTACACTTATTGATAACAAGAAATTATAGCAAATTAGTGCTGAAATAAAAAATGATGAATATTGTTAACATTTTCATTGCTATTTTTAAATAAACCAACAAACAATTTATGGTTTATTTAAAAGCCATGTGCTAAATGCTTTAAATATATTTTTAAAGTAAAAATAGTCAAAAGTACAAATATACAGTGTTAAAAGTTATTTTTATGGTCAGTGAAATTAATATAATTTAAAATATTTGATGATAAAGATTAACTTTGATTAAGACTGGCGGTGATTGTTTTGTTTGTGTAAAAACGACATTATCTTCCCAATGGACACTCACACTGATAGAATTTACTTCAAATAAATTCAGATATTAGCAAATCATTTGTAGGATAATATTACTTTAAGGGGAAATAGTTTACTGTAAACATTAATTTAATTTATATTGGTATTTGAAATCCCTTACCTATCTAATAATGATACACCATTATAATACATGCAGTCAAAAACAAACAGGCAAGGATTAGCGTCTTCAAATTTACTTTTCTATGAAACAAAAATAATAACTGTAATCGTTAAACTTATAAATGTCATCTATATAAGAGAAAAATACCTTGTGAATTCCTAAGGTACCAAATGGTAAGGGTTTATTAGTTTTGTGGTCATACATTAGCACTTCACAATCTAAAATTATCTCTTTTCCGTGCTGAAAAGCTTTAGGAATGTACTGTTTGAATAAATCAACCTGAAATTAAAATGTATTTTTAACAATATTCAATGATGAAAATGTTGACGAAAGTAATTAATGTATAGAATAGTATAGGTAATATATAATGTCTACATCATAAAGTCTTTTTAATATGTTTATTTTTGATTGTGTGTTAAATATATTTACTTTATGTCCTAAGACAGGTTTTAAACTTCTTGAAAAAAATTTAAATTGTTTTTCACTTTTGTGCAGTTGAACGCGTTCACCGTCGTATTTAATTTCTGAGTATATACCGTTGGGACACTTTTTAAAAAAGTCATCCAAATTTTTACATGGTTCAGCCTAAAACAATGAAATACGTGAAAGATGAAAGTTAACAAAAGATAAAAGCTTACAAGTTCAATAGAAAACAACTTACCAACATTGGTAAAATCGGAGTTAACAAAGATAATTTGATGTTCATTTTTCCATTGCTAGCTACCTTAGATGAATCACATGAACACGCTTTTTGTACAACGGACTTCAAATCATGTGATGTTTGGTACGCTTCATATGCATCAGAATGAAGTGCCCCTAAACTGAAAATATAATATAGGTACAATTAATGTGGATGTAAAAGAATGCAGTACCTACACAGTGTTAGCACAACAAATAGCACTCTAAGCAAAACAATATCTTTGCTCCTCCCTCTCAAAAATAATCAATTAAAATTGTGTCGAAGGCTTTTAGCAGATGCCTTGAGCGTAGACTCTGATACCAAACCCCTCGGTTAGGTTTGGTTCTGTGGTTAAAAGTATATGCTTATAATGCACATTTTTAAGAATTATTTTAATTATTATCATCAATGTTTATTTATTTATTTTATAGTATTTTTGTAGTTACAGTGTTACTGTAATTGTGTTTGAAATTTAATAGAATATCGACATGTATATCAGTGGCGTAGATAAGAATTTTTATTGAATGGGAGACATACATTTATTATTTTTAAGATAATTATTTACAGGGTAGTGGCTCCCTGCACTAATATTTTACATAAAAAGTGGGCAAATGGGTACTGTACTGCTCTGCTGTACAGAACGTGTCTAGAAAGGACGCCGTAACGGATATGTTAAATAATTTTCAACATTTTCAATTTTAAAAATTTGAACTGTAAATGCTTAAAAAAAATCGTGCTTTTATATTTTTAATATTTTTAAACTACTACTATAACAACGTGTAGAGGAACATTGTATTACATTTTCAAGTTTTTTGATAGAGAGTAATAATTTTTATGGACAATAATTTTTAAAAAAACTAATAAATACCAAACTTTTCTTATGTCTATAAATAGCTCAAAAAAAGTTAAATTTTATTGATAATGTTATTGTGTATAGAAAATGCTAATATTAACATTCGGAGAAAATTCCATGTACGATTATTTTTTAGAGTAATAGAGTTATACCAAAATACAAAAGAAATTTGTGTAAGTCTTGTACTAGTTTTGAGTAAAAATCTCTGTTTTCCCTTTTTTTTTTCATCTTTTGACTTTTGAAAACTACTGGGAATTTTTCACTGTTGACTCTCCCCAAAGTACCACTTAAATTCACTTTCCTGTCAGAAAATATATTGGAGTAAAAAATCGAAGCATTTTTACAGCCCCAAAAGGTGATGACGGAAAAAACATACATCATTGTTAAATCATTAAGTTCATCGCTTCGCTCAGAATCTAAAATAGGTCATGGAACGGATCTACAAATGTAAAACATATATGGAATATATATAAATGTACCCAAGACCTAGCCAAACTTAGTTGACTTTAAATAACAAAAATATTTTTATTGTGTTTGTGTAGCGAGATCAATAACTTTACTGTAATCCAGAATCTACTATTTAAGACAATTTTGAACAGACAAAAACAGGTAACAGGTCTTAACGACTCTTCTTGACCGTCACCAACGAACATAACATACAAATCCAAAAAGTTTTTTGTTCAACTGTTAGGTATGATAAAATAACATTTAAATAATAGGTCGTTTAATAGGTTTAAATAATTATATTATTTTTTACACAGTGTAATAATTATGAATTATTTTAGTATTTCATACGTATTTTATCAAAAGATTTAAATTATAACATTTTCTTAACATATATTTAGCTAACACGCGGAGAAAGTATACTCTAAGCAGTTTCACAGCCTAAGCTCAAATATTTTAGTAAATATAATATTCAGACACAAGCTTACAATATCATCGATTTATAGAGCGACATTCGGGGCTGAGCGAACTTTTGAATTTAAGTGCCTTTGATCATACTTATGCTACTCTTGTAAAGAAATCTTTACTTTATATTTATACATACAATCATTTTATTTAAAAAAGGAAAAAGGAGGTAGGTCATTTTTATACACGTTTTTTCAATAAGCGATATTTCATTACAGATACATACATTTATTAGGTAATTTAAATTATTTAAAAATTAAGAATTTTAATAGATATTTATAAAATTACAACAACTCAATTCAGTACTTTTTCAAAATTAAAACCAGAAAACTTGCTATGAAAAAGTCAAAATTGTCTTAAATAAGCATTACATTTTTCATAACTTAAATCAGAGCATTGATTAATTTAGGCCATTTTAATTATTACGTATTTACAGATTTTTAATCATAAGGGTATATATTTTTCAGATATAAGATTTCTAGAAGTATAAGTGTTAAGTGTAAGGGTAATTCATAATTTTATCACATAGGTTTTTGATGATTAATACAATTTTTGATAGTAATATCATTGATTACAAATACTATTTATAAATTATAATTAACAATATGGATCATATTAAAAACTTCAGAAATAAAAATAAGAACATGGCCTTCAATAGAAACATTAATAATGTGGCCGTCTGGCCGTGTCTAGAATTGTATACCAAAAACATCAAAGTATACTAAAAAAACCTATAGAGCTGTATTTATTTTTCTAAACACAACGTATAATTTCAAAATTTCTAAAATCATAGTAGGTTTGATAGTACCTACTTATATTATAGAGAATTATATGAATATTGTATGTAATTTAAAACTAACTTGTTTATTTTTCAGTGTTCAAACATGCAAATTCAAGTAGGTTTAACAAAATAATAATAAATTCATATTTTATGTTTTTATGCGCATCGAATGTATTTCTTTTAGTTACATAAATATCATTAAATATCTAGAGATTTTTAGTTTTGAAGTAATAGTTATATCCTCTAGATCAGCGGTTCTCAAACTGTGGTACGCGTACCACTAGTGGTACGCGAAAGACTACATGATGGTACACGGAAGGCCTTAAGTAACACTGAACCAGATATTTCATAGCTAATATCAAAATCCACAAATCCAAGGTTCTCATTGAAAATTTATTATTTAATTCATTCTTTAATTTTTAAACACTAATAAATGTGTATTAATAAATAAATAATAACTATATTGTAATATTTTACTGCATTTTTATTTAAAATAAATGTTTTTAACTATGTAAAGTTCGTATCTTTCTATTTATAACCATCAGTGGTACGCGACTAATTGATAGTATACTTAAGTGATACGTGAAAAAAAATGTTTGAGAACCGCTGCTCTAGATAAAATTATAAAATAATATTTGTACTTTTGCATTAATCTATATACATTTTTTTAAAGTGATTTTACTTAGGTAAATACATTTTGTAACGGCCGGAAATTTGCCACACCACCCTCACCCCCCTTCCACCCTCACTACATGGTTTAATATCGAATTATAAAATTGCAATAAGCCAATAATAATCGATTATAACATATAACAATACAGATTAGGTCCAACTAAAGTCACGTTCTTAAAATATTATATTTATAAATATAAAGACAACATTACAAACCTATAACTTATTTTTTTTTTTAAACTAGAACTTCATCATGGTTTTTTTATTTGTATCGAAAATAATGATCTATTTTCTGCAGGGGGATACGTTTTAACACGGACCTTTTACTGTAAATGCAAACATACGATGATTTATTCATGTATTATTCACGGAAACTCGTACGTATACACACCTAAATCCACTAGGTTAGGATATAAATACAATATTTTTTGGTCTATCGTTTCAATAAAAGCCGTAACAAAAGTTATTATTGATACTTGATAGCAAATGTATTGTCGGAAACAATGTATAAATTACACAAGTAGAACTGTTTAACCTGCCTTACATGAAATGATAAACGGCTTGAATCCACTTATCCACACGCCGTAATGAAATAACAATCGACTGTAGAAATCCCAAAAGCCCATTGCAATAATAATGTATGAAAGCAAGATGAATCTATATAATACTGTGTTTCGATTTCACCATTTTCGACAATAATTGGATTGTTTTTATCCCCAATATATAGGTAGTTGTAAACTTTAATAGACGGTCCGTTGAGTTTACAAGTCAAGAACAAGTACATACCTACGATTTTATGAGGAATGTGTAATATATATTATATTGTTATGGAATATTAATATATCATAATCCTGCAGTACTAATTCATAACCATAAAAAAGGAGTAAGAACAAAGAACATAATCAACGAATTTTCTAAACATAATAATTATAACTAATTCGTGAATTCCTTACAATGACATATAGATCAAAATGTTTAGGTCAGATGTACAGAACACAAAAAGCGGGGCTAGTGGATGTCGCTCTTCTGAACAGTAGGTTACAAGTGGATCACTGTAATGGATGGAGTTAAATTTTAATTCAATGATATCGAATCATTGTAGGTATACGAAAAACGATTCTGAGCGAAGACGGTCTGTCAGAATATTAAGAATATTATGCACTAAGTAATTTAGTATATATTTGATGATATTATCGTGATTACAGTAATTTATTTTTCTATTAAGCATTAGTACTACTGTAGATTCAGTTCCTTTTTAGCAAAAAAAAATACATTTGAAAAGTCATTGTGTGTATAAAAGTATAGTAATATACTATAAAAGTTTCAAATACTTACGAATAATATTTTTAAATTACAACAAAATTATTTAAATCATTATTCTTGGTTATTTCATACGTAATTTCGTCCAAATTTGAACACAAAACAAATATTAAAAAAACTGTGCTTATACATTTTAAGATTATTTGGTTACAAAAATTACTACTTCTATGGAACTTTGTCTTAAACTTTCAACCCTAAGCTAAACAAGTTGAAAATTTAAAATAATTTTACATATAAAATTAATTGTGAATTTTGAATGACATGAATTTAAAATTTGAACTTTAAATGTTTATAAATATATCGCACCTATGTATTTTAAATATTTTTCAACTGATATTGTAAATATATATATCAGGACTTAAGAGCCTTGTATTAAATGTTTAAGCTTTTTGAAACAACAAATAAAATTGTATTGACAATTATAGAAAAAAAAAATGAAAATAACATTGAAAATGTCTTTAAACAGCTCAAAACGAGTTAAAATATTTTGAAAATTTCAGCAAGTATATGAATTCATTATAATATATTGTGTAAATTTCAAGTATCTGAAAATATTCGTTTTTGAAATACAACAAAATAAGAAGGTCGCTATATGAGAAATGGAGTGAGAATCCGGATATGTTGTAAAAATTTCAAATTTCAAAGTTAATAAAAATTCGATTTGAATTTCCGAGATAATTTTTGATGAATTTCCAACTCAAAATATTAAATTTGAAAATTATTGTGGATTTACGTTTAAATTTTTTTTTAATTTTCCACCAATAACAACTTACGAAGAACATTGTATTACTTTTTTAAGGTTTTTGACAAAGTAAAAATTTTTTCGTCGACATAACAGTTGAAAAAAAAAATAATCAAAAATTTCATACGCCTATAAATAGTTTAACACGAGTCAAAATATCAGAAAATTTTATAAAAACGAGGTTATAAACATTCAGTGAAATTTGTATGCATCTACTTTTTTTTTTTAGAGTAACATCAAAAACCAAAATCGATATTGTCGAAAACCGGGTTTCCGTAAAAATTTCCGTTTTTCCTTAATTGTTTGTTTTTCCTGCTTAATTGAAAACTATTGGGAATTTTTTACTTTTAAACCCATAAAGCACCAACAAGATTTACTTTCTTACTTGAAAAGATTCTGTTGAAGATAATCGAAGTTCTTTTACTGCCTCAAAAGGTGATGAGAGACACAAAAAAAACACACATTATTGTATAAAATCAATTTTTTCTAGTTTTTAAAAATGCAATGGGTTATTATTTATGGGTTGAGTTTTAATTTAAAAACTTAAAAATTGAACATTTTATACGTTTTTAACTACAAAATAATTTGGAAATTCTGGAGTTTTTTTTAAATTACACTTAAAAAAACATGTGAGGAAGTTTTTAGATTTTTTGACCGATGTGAAATATTTATATTGACAATAATTTATAAAAAAAACAGCATCAATATTTATAGAGAAAAAAAAACTAATAAAATCGAAAATTACGTATGCCTATAATGCTAGCTCAAAAAGAGTCAAAATATTTTGGAAATTGAATTAGTTTTGGAAAATGGTCATATAAATGTTTTCGCTTTTGAATCACATAGCAAAGTAAGAAAATCGTTCTATGAGAAATCATTAGTTCACGGAGCAAACAGATCGTATTTATCATATTAACCGTGATTGATCTTAACATTATTTTTAAACAGCCTATAATAAATAGTAGGTAGTAGGTACATATACTAAATATTGAACATCTATTTTTGTTCGATACTTTTATCAGGCTGCAATGGCCACAAAATTGTATGAATCACAAATAAATAATGTGCTATCTATAGGTAATAGGTATTACCTATACTTCATGCTCAAACTCATCAATAAAACTAAGTACCTACCTAATTTTGATTTATTTCAAATTGTTTGAATTTAAATTAGGTATGTAAAATTGTTGTACTCTATATCCATAGATTTTAATTGTCCAACCTCGAGATTTTTTAAAGTTTGACCTTAATCATATAGACTAACCAATTTTACCATCAATTTTTAGTCTAACTAATATTGGTGATTTTTTTAACAATTAACATATACTATTACAAATAGAATTAAGTTAAATAACCTAATTTAATTTAAGAAAAAACATTTATCATGCTTATTGTACTTTTTTTATGTGTAGTTTGTATAAGTTCTAGATAAAACATTTAGAAAATATATTTTTTAAATAATTTTAAGTGAAGGTACATACTATACAAAGTATATATATAGCTACAAATATATATTATATATATATTTATTCACGTGTAAATTTGAAATTATTAGTTATAAGTAAACCATGGATTATATTATGCAGTAAAAAGACTCTATTAATTGTATGCAAATATGTAGAGAAAAGACTGAAATACGAATAGATTATGTTAAAATATGCGCTAAAAATGAAATTATTTAAGCGAAAATTGGTTAATTATTCCTTTTATTTCAATGAAATATTTACTAGCTGTTGAACGAAACGTTTTCGATCGAAAGACTGAAATACCGCATAGTGTAAGGCAAGTTCTATGGTGGAAGTGGTGATTGTCGATAATCGTTACCAGAACGTTTGAATTTTCGATAGTGCTTATTCGTGAATACTTTTAGATAAAAAATGGTGAGGGTCCTTCCAGCTTTGGTAGAGCACGCGAATGGGACGAATCGAAAACTCGTTAATATACAGGTATATTATACGACGACGGCGGTAGAAACTCGTCTGGTAAGATATTTGTTTAGTGATCATACATTTAACCAGTGATTAAATGTGAAAAATAACAATTATATGCCCTTTACATCACGAACCAATGAAGTATATGCTTAATTGGTAAAAAAGGTGATTATATGCATTTGAATATTAAATGCATATAGGTAATCCACGGGAAAGTTACAAGTTATATTTAGATATATACCTTGTTAAATCAAGTTAAACAAACTCAAAATTCTCAGAAAAATATTTAGCCCCGGAATATGAAATAGAAAATGTTTACTTAGTTCAAAAGAGTAAAAATTCAATACATTAAGACAACATTTTATTCAGTGATGAATACGACTTGTCGAGTTAGCGAGTGTAAACTATCAAAATAATGTTGGTGAATTATTAAAATTAAAAACTGGATGTGTAACCTTCCTTCGTGTGAAATAATCATATTAAATATTATATTCGAATATGAAAGCTGATTTTGATAAATGATGCATACCTATAAGATTTCAAATAATAATAAAATGAAACAATATAAAATCTAAAAAAGTAATTAAAAATCTCTTAGAAGCAAAGAAGACTGTCCATTTTAATTGCCCATAAAAATTACTTAAAAAGTAAAATTTGAAAATCCGTCATAATTATAAAACGTCAAGACTGCCGGTTGTTCAATTCGTTATAGGTATACACCTATCGTAGCCAAACCACCAATAAATATCACACTATTCTATACTATTAAAGTATTATACCTACTAATTGGTTTGGACCCAATTACCTAATAAACAGATTTTCCCTTGGATAGTTACACAAACCACTGTAAAATTAAACAAACATATTTAGTGGTCAGTCTCTGTCCACAAAAAGATTTGCACATACTTTAGACGTGTATATATTCTGGTATAGTGGTATCCCGACAATTGAGCGAAAGAAAAAGAACGAACGTAAATGAGAGAATGAAAAAGAGCGAATAAAACTATGAGCGAAAGCATATAGAGCGAAAAAATGGATGTGTGTACTAACTATGTAAAACTACAGTGAAATATTTTAGGATTCGAAAAATCCGCGACAACGATTCTATAAGATTACGTTTATGATCATTTGTCTTATCTGAGTCATTTTCGTCGTACCTATATTGAGTTTATAAAGGCTTCAATTGTCTATTGGGGTCGTGTAATGCAGGTAACATCAAATGAATAGTGGCATTCGTTCGTCGAATTAAAAAAAAATATAATGATTCTGCCGAAAAATTAAAAAATATTGTTGACGATTATTATAATATTCCGACACTTCAATATTCAATAAGTATGACAACTATGAAATCTAAATGTATTAATTTTATAATTATATGTATGTGCAAATAATTTATTTTAATTATATTATAATATTATATTTTTTCGCTCATATTTTTATTCACTCATTTGCGTTCACTTTTTTTCTTTCGCTCAATTGTCGTAGAACCATATATTCTATACTCTATAAATGTATATTTGTAATTGATATAAACTTATGTCATATAGCAACGTATAGTAGGTTTTCTAGATTGATCAAATGCCAATGTAATTTTTACACATCAAAAAGTATTTGACTCTTATTACATTATTATTGTTAAAACTTACATATATTTTGGTCCGCAATTAATTCTGAGATCGTGCATCACCAGCCGAATTATCATTTTCAAATCATTTCCAGTACATCTGCAAAATAAATTATTTGTTTTAAATCTAAAATTTGATTTATTCTAACCTTGATCGTATTAATAGGCAGGTTAACTTACAACGTGGCGATTGATTTGAAAAGCGCAGTTTGTGCAACCTCTGTAGTTTCAATTGATAATTTATCGAGAAAACTGTCTACTTTAGCTAATGTTAAAGTTGATTTTGATGCTGGTTTCAGATCGACATTGTTACTTTTTTCAAAAAATATTCTAATCGTTTCAGCAACATCCCCTTTTTCCAAATCTTCCAGCATTAAGTTAACATTTTGCTTAAACAACTTTAAAAAGTTTAAATATATTACGGAAATTAATAAAAACAATTTTACGTATTATTGATGTTCATCAAATTGCAAATTGTTCATTTAAATATAGGTCCAAATTAATTTTTATAAAAAAGTTAGTGTAATCATTATACAATAATTATATATTTATGAAGTAATAAATATAATAAAATATTTATTTTTACTTGACTATATAATTTAATAAGTTGTTTTGATTGTAGATTGTAAATTCTTTTTTCCGAATTGGGCAACAACATTTTGCACCATAAAAACATACTTTCTGCACGGGTTTCTTTTGACTGTTCTAAAACAAACACCGGTACTATATTAAAATAAAAAAATTAATTTACAGGTATCTAAACCAGTATCAATACAATTTTCACAATCATAATTGAATTAAATATTATTGAATTTTAAAGTACATGCCATCATTGAATGTTTCAATTTTACGGGGATATTGTAATAACTCTAAGGTAGATTTTAATTAGGTAACTGTAAAACAAATCATTTATCAAAAATCAATATATAAAATTTCAATTTATAATATCTGATATTATAATAAAATTACAAACATACAAGATTAATTACCTACGGCATTAACATTTTTAATAATATTGTGAGTACCCATAATTAGTTAAATAATTAAGTAATGAAATACCAGCTAATTTACTTTTTACAAGTTCCCATTAATATAAAACAATGAAGAATTCTGAAATACCTACAACAGATTTTTCAGAAAAAAATAATACGAATTGAAATATTAAAAGTAATAACGAAAAAATATAGAAAAGCAGAAAGTAATCGTGAATACTTATTACTTATATCATTTATAGAACATACCTTTGGATAAAATTTTATTGATAAATTCTTTAAAAATTGCAGTTTTTTGAAGATGGCCGTTTTCTTGTGAGAGACTCAAACACAGTTTTCGAAAGTCCTTAAAATAGTAATCTTGCGTTTGTGGTAACGGCGGCACAGATTTTTCTTTTGGTTTCTTTTTATTGGGTTTGTCTTTTTTGCCAGTCTCCTCGTCATCGTGTGTCTTAAGTTTCTCCTTGGGAACTAATAATAAATAAAAAAATATTTATACTAACAATTTTAGTTACTAATGCGGACACTTTTAAAAATTAATTATTCCAACATCTTACTGTAGGGGAAAGTTATAAATATTTCGTTTTGGTGTTCCATAGACAGTCCGTCCCAGCCACCGATATCGTCTACACAGGTAATTTTCGCCGTCGATGCTCTCTGCTTAGAAAATACAGTCGCTAAACACTGCGGATGATGCCAAGCCATCATTTTTCCATCACCAAATGGATTTGCCACAACTTTGGCGATCCTCAACGTTCCTTGATTTAAGACTTCTTTACACTTTTTACATTTTGCCCTGTTGCTCTTAGATTTTTCGGCGACGAAAAGCTTGTCCTCGGACGATTCTTCCATATTGTCAAGCTATTAAATAAATTAGTATATTGAATTGGAATAATTTAATTTGAGCATATGAAAATGTAAAGGGAAAATAACCATGCAAATGTAAGGAAATAAAATTTTATACCTAACCTATATACCGACTATACCGTTCAGCAAAATTAAATTAGTTAAGCAGTCACCAAAGAGATTTCATCGCTTAAGTCTGACAAATAAAAATCCGATAGAAAAAAACCCATAGACACGAACGGAGACGGGCACTTGTCTCGCTCACATTATAGTTATAACAAAAAAAATCCGTCAGAGTTTGAACAATTTTAAACAGTCTACAAATAATATTTTTAGCAATACAATGAAATAAACAAGTACCAATTTCATTCAATTCACGTGTTAGTCGTAAATTTCATTACTCTAGTTTTCAGTATTTTCCGTAATTTTATCAAAAACTATAAGACCATTTAATTTCAATGATGCTCTGTTTACCATACCGATCAATCGAAAAGTTGAATTATGAAGCTTCTTGTTAAAGACACGTGGTTTATCATAAATGTCACTAGTACCTATAGTATTTTCAGTATTTTTGGTAATTTTATCAAACACTGTTAGAGGATGATATAATGACATAGAAAGTGTTCTACCCATCATTTAACTATTTTAACTGAATAATGATTGTTAAAATTAAAATCTAGTATATTATCAATAATTACCACCATAATAATGATCCAACAAAAATGTTTCACTAAAAACGGTAAATTTAAAACAAAATATTCTAACCTATAGGTACGGTTAAAAAATCCGAGAAAGTATGAGTACTATACCTATCACCTAAACAGCCCAAATAAGTAATAATGTGTACCGAATAATGCACCTAATAATAAATGTGTAAGGAAAAAGTATAAAGAATTAATATTCTTGCACATTTTAGTTTAATATAACATAATAGAATGTTTATTTATACATTTATCCATAAGCAAATTAATTGTAATTAAATTAAAATGTAATGTTATAGAATAAAATAGTTGTATACAATTATTCAAAACAAGTATTAAAAAAAGAGGGTAAGTGGATGTCGCTCTGCTGTACATTAGGTGTCTAAGAGGTCGCTGTAATGGATGGTATTAAATTTGAATTCAATGATATCAAATCATTGAATACGAAAAACGATTCTGAGCGGAGACGATATGTCAGTTTAGGAAATTGTATACTGTTATTACTTATTATTAATATGGTATCCGATAAGTTGAATTAATATTATTCTTAAATTATCAGTGATGCTGGAAAAGTATTAAATATGCCTATGTAAAATTGGACTGTTTTGGAACCGAATTACAACAAAATGATAACCATTATTCTCTGTGTTAATATGCAATTTTGTCCAAATTTGAACTTAAAACTCCGTAAAAAATAACCGTATTCATATATTTTTTAGATTTAATAGTTATGGAAAATCTGCTTAAGTGGAACCTTGTTTTATATGTTCAATCCTTAGCTATAAAAATCAACATTTTATACACTTTTAACTACGAAATCATTTTCAATTTTCAACTTGATAAATATTGTCAACAATTGAACTTCGAATGCTTATAAAAAAAAATCTTGCCCATGTATTTTTAATATTTTTCAACTGCTATTGTAAAGAGTTATCAAGGGTCTTGTAATAAATTTTAATAAAAATAAAGGCAGAAACACTTGTAAGCAATCTTGTATTACATTTTTAAATCTTAGATATAAATATAAACATTTTTATGAATTTCTAACTCAATATAATTTGCTAATTTTCATGATTTTTACGAATTTTATAAAAATTCTAAGTTTAAACGCTCATAAAAAATTATTGTGGATTTACGCTCAACTTTTTTTTTAATTTTTATTATCAATGGCTTACAAGGAACCTTGTATTACGTTTACCAAAATGTTTTTCGAAAATGTTACCATTTATGAAAAATTGTAATTTATGTAGATATTCGCAGTGAAAATGTCAAGTGTTTATGGTTATTAGTTTTGAGCTACCTATATAAAATCGAATTTTTCAAAAATTGGTTTTGCGTAAAATATCCCATATTCTTTCATTATTTGTTTTTTGATATTCATGAAGCTTTCAAAAACTATTGGGAATTTTAAACTTCGACCTTCCAAATGCATAAACTACATTCATTTTTCTATCAGAAAATCTACTTTGAAAATCGAAGATTTTTTTACTACCACAAATGTTGATGACGAATAGAAAAAATACACATTTTGTGCAATTTACACAATATCATTATCATCATTGTAGGTAAATACCTAAATACAATCATCCGCCAGGCTCAGAATCTAAAAAATATATTTATTGTATATAATTTGCACTTATAAGTTTAATCATTTTTATATAATGTGTAGTATGTATATGAAATATTCATTAATTATTAAACAAATACATAATTGCTCAAACAGCACCACTTAGGACCGTTTTTAGAATGCGCCAAAAATAATTAATTGAAAATAATAATACATTCACTCAAGTGAACAATCAAAACAGTCACAACTTCACAAGCCTCACCACTTAACATGCGTAAATTTCCATTATTTTATTATTTTATTTCATTCACTTTAAAATTTAAATTCATTAGTTTAATAATCACCAATTTTAAAATAACGCTAAAATAAACAATGTTTAACAAAATATTTGCTTACACCTTCTATAGTATCAATTGTAAATACCTACCTAGTTAGGAAATATTTTTTTAACATAATTAACAAAATGTTTAAACCAAAAACCGATCATCCATTAACTAAAATATAATCATTTTTCGTGCATAAAATCTATATGGGCGTGTAATAAAAAAATAATAAACATGTCTTTATGTCTGCATGTCTGTACATACCTACATGTATTATCATTTATCACGTATATTATTATTTCCATTGATCTTATGAAAACAAATCTTCAGGGAAATATGACTAATGATTTATGTTACCACTCACTATGCGTGTATGCAACATTATACACACAAAATACTATAAATTATACATACAGTAAATACACATAGGTAAACAACATTTCTAAGAACTAAGTAATATTAAATTTGTTCTATTTGATAGGTTTTTTTTATCATATTATTTAAAATGCCATTGTGGTGAGTAGGATGTTAGGACAATTTTAAACGCGAGTATCTTTATTGTTATTATAACAATATTTTGAAAACTATATCGCAAAGAAAATTTTACGATTTCTAACTTACAGAAGAAAAAATATTTAAAAACATCACATCATGCTCTGGAAATCAAAGTATGGTGGGAGGATCAAATTGAAATGATCTCCTATTAGCCGAGGTGCGATTTCAAATTCATTTGGATTACATTTTCCGGCATAAATGTGATACGATTTAAATGTTCCTCCTCACATTTTTTTGATATGAAATCATGTTTATTTTTCTATATATTATATATATAAAATTATACATTTTAGCAGGCTATAATAGCCTTGATTTGTTATGTATGTAGGTACTGTGATGTGGCAGTACCTACCTTTGGCTCCAACATTCAATAACCTCGTAACTTTGATTATAGGTACCAAAGCTCCAAATTAAAATACACTCAAACGGGCATTCGAACATACGTTAAAAATATTTTTATCAACTTAATTATATAAAAGTAAGAGGCAGCCAAGTTTTCGAAATACTAAGTTTATACTATTAAAACTTTAGATATAGTTTTTAGAACAAATGTTATTTTATACTGTAGGTATGTCAGATCTTCGTGTTACACCCACGTATAAAGGTAGCTCAGAGAGCTAATTAATTTCATTTAAACAGGTATTAATACCTATAATAAATAATTATATAAGCTTAACTGAAAATAATTAGATCAAACTAATCTCGTCCATTGTTTGCTATAATCAAGCTAATGCATACTTGGACTACTAAAATATCCAAAATAGACTTTCAATATCGCTTAATAATTCCCATTTTATACTTATAATGTTATTTATTTTCTCATTTTTTTGTTTTTAAACATATAGACATGCTTTATAGGTACTCCTTAGAAACGTATTAAAAATGTTAGTTAATATACTTTATAAAAAAAGCTGTTTTGAGTTCTTAAAACAATATGACACTATTTCTGACTTTAAACCACGTGCATTGTCCCTGAATAATTTCATATATTCGTGACTTATATAATAATATTATCTACGTGCAGCACTCACTAAGCCGTCGATATATACGCATCTTCAGAGGTAATTATGAACGTATATAATATAATATACATATAAATTATATATTTATGTACAGTTTAGGTGTATAACAATATATTATATATGAGATTTTGAAAACTTTAAACCACGTTCCCTGATGCGGCAGCACAGCCATAGTTGTGCGTCGGAGAGCAACCACCAACCCCTTAACAAGGACTCCCCCTACACCCAATCAAACATCACAACGAACGAACAAACCACCACTAATACCACCTCACACGCAGCGGTATTACGCGTATCATTTATAATAATTGTACACCGTCGCCGTGTCGTGAACAACAAACGGCGTATATACCTACGTCATTATTAAGGCTATGGATTTAAAGGAGTTTGTATGTTTTCTAATATTCGTTCAAAACATCATTTATAGACTATACTGATATGGAAAATATTACTTGAACAATATATTTTTGTCTCGTTAATCGAGGAAAAAATATGGTAATAATACGCGATCACCTAATCTAAGATCGTTATATTATACGTATCTAGAAATGAGAAGAAAAATGAATTGGCTATGTTAGGTGTTAGGTGTTAGGTGTTCATATAACTATCAGGCTATCAGCCAAACGATGTACCAGACATAATTGTATGTGTTCACTGTTCATATAAATTTGTCCAAACGAAAACGGCTCATGTTCTTATACGGGCCATGAGATAATTTAGGTAATCAATTGATGTTGGTTCGTCAATGTTATTTTCTTTAATCTTTATTATCTATGCTGTCATTGCTTTATGTTTTAGCTTCCCCCGTGTGCGCAATCTTTATATTTGAGATTCTTAAGAGGACGTCATACCAACGGTGTCAAACGAAAGCATGTAAACTCCGCCAGGGAAGAAAATCAAGTAATAGTATAAAATAAATATAATATATTATTATTAAAAAAAAATCATGATTTTTATAATCATAATAGTCCACATAAAATGATAGATAAGCGTAAAAAATATACAAAGCTTAAAAATAAATATAACAATTGTCCGAAAAAATCATACTAATTGTAATAATAAAATAAGTACCTATGTATTTGCATAGGCGCAAAAAGTGTTTGAAATTTGGGAGGGGGAAGCCCTTCTATTTGCGCCTATGCGGGTATGTTATGTTATGTTATATTTTAAATTGTGAACTAAAGTAATGTGATACAATTTGTAGGTATTGTAATTGATTAGTCAAATATAAATCCATTATTATAAGTTTTTGTAGCGTTCTCTAACACTATTATTTTCTTTTTTCATTTTGAATTTTTGATCTTATTTAGTTGAGATATAGTATTAATTTGAATACAAGCAAAGAATTAACACTGGAGGAGTTTACATTACATCTCTTCATTAACTTTTAACCTAACCGGTATCCTGGAAGAGTTTACAATCACCCGTCTTACACACGTACGACATACCAAATTTTCGTTCTTCGGTTTCAAAAATGTGCCATTAGTTTTGATATAAGAGTAAATTCAACTATCATTTTACCTTTAAATTGATTACAGAGTCAATTCACTTTTATTTTAAAAATAACAGAGTAAAATGGATTATTGTTAACGTAAAGACGGAGACAACATATGCGGATGCCACGTTCTCTTAACCATGGAAATATAATTTATCCATACACAATATGTCAATATGTAATATATACTTTAACCCGTAGGCATTAGTTTGTCTAAGTGCTTCGTTGTCAGTTTGTCACCATCGAACGTTTTTTCTTGAAAAATTCCTAAAGTAAACAATGTACCTATATTCGCCAAAATATTCGGAAAATCGGTGTTTTTAATTGATAAATAAGTATTATTTTATAGACTTTATAAAGTTAAAGTTTGTGCCGAAAAACGTTTTACCATCTTACAATACCCAAAAACATTTTAAATTTTAATGCATATTCAAGTGATTCATTATAATGACTCATTATATAATAATATAACCAACTACAAAATTAAACCAATTCTAGATACTTGATTATATTGATATGGATACACAACCATCATAATTAAATTTTGTGTTACGAAAGGAAGCTAGGACAAAAAAGCACATGTAAGGCAATTACATCTTCAGGAGAACATTATTCAAATCAGATTAATCTCCAACAGTATATTGCAACAACAATGGATCCAGGGAAATACTAAATTAAACCAAATTAAGAACCACGCGTTGAATATCGTACACTCATCTATATATGTTTATACGCCGAAATGAGAGACAAGAAGCGGGCATTTCCGGTATATTATTGTATAAGCCAATGTCAATCTAAACACCTAGCGGCCATTATGGTTTTAAAAATTTCAGGGATCAGTAAATGTAAATAACTAAATACTACTAAAATTTTATTTTTGAAGGTGACATGTTTTCCTTACATATAAAACTAATACATATTATGGAACTTGTAAGCGACACTGACGTCCGAATAAAGTTATGTAACCCGTCTGATCTGTTAAGACCATGCGTGACGCCAGAGTGTCCAGATAAACAGACCGGGTTATAATTTAGAGTATTTTTGTAATCAAAAGTTTTAATGAATATTGCCTATTGTTACCGGGGCTAAATAAATAAATAATAAAAATATAATATTTATATAATATATATATTATATTATACCTTATAACAGAGGTATTCAAACTGTGCGTCGCGGCTCTCAGGGGCGTCGAGGGAGTTGTCGAAGGGAGCCGCGTAGTATAATTATTGAAAACCAATAAATATTTTTTACGAAAAACGTTTACTAATATCATTGAGGCACACCGGTTGGGAAACGTTGAACTGTGTACAACAGTCATTCGCTAAATAAAGCTTTAATTTATTTTATTTATGTAATATGGTAAATAAATTATAAAATATAAATTACAATCATATAAACATTGATTTTTTTATCATTTAAAATTTGGGAGCCGTCAACATTTTGTGAAGATTTAAAGGAGCCGTGGGATGAAAAAGTTTGAATATCTCTGCCTCATAAGGTACAAATCGTCGTATTGCATACGCCTAATACCACAGTATATATACCTGTATAATATTACAATGTATTTTAATTGGTAAATATTATTGTCTGGGGAACGCGCGCGACGTGTAAGTACAACACATTCCGCTATGCTATACAGTAGTAGCGACATTAATATTATATCGCCGCGACTTAACTGAAAACCTATTCGGCGGGGATCGAGGATAATATAGTTGTCGGCAACAAGTAGGCGGTAATCGCCGCGGTGAGGGTCGCGAATCGAGGGAAGTCCGGCGGGAATAGAGTCGACTTTTCGCGCTCGCCGCCGCCGCCGCGCCACGGTTTTAACGGTACGGCGGGCCACGGGTGCCGTGTTATAAAAGCTCGGGCCGCTGCATTTCCAGCGGACATTTTCTCTTTGGCCGTCCAACCCTCCCCGAATTTCACAATAATTCATTAGTCATTACAGTATCATAATTATAATACATTGTATACACCGTCCGACGGTGTTGTAATGTAATAATCGTTATACACTTATAAGTTACAACTTATCGTCGCGATTGACGCTATAGGAACGCGTTTTTGGCGATCACGTTTTTCCCCTTTTTCGTTTGCTCCACTCACGAGTACATTATAATATAGCATAGTCTTGAACATTATATAATATACTTTTATAGAATACTTGTACGCGCAATAGAATACATCGCAACAACACAATAGCAATATACATCCCGTGACGAGTGCAGTCAAGCCAACACATTCCGGCCGAAGTACATCACTAAGGTAAATAAATGTGTATATTTATTATACAGGAATACACGATGTCCGATTACTACACGTATTTTAATTTTAAGGCGTGAATGAAGATTTGAATTGTACGATTTCACTTTATTTTTAAACAACTGACCTACCTACTTATTTAGTTTTTAAAAAAATTATTTGATTTCATCACATTTTTTAACATTGTATTAATATTACCTATTTCATACCTATAATAATATGCCTACATATCGGTTTTACAAAAAAAAAAAAAAAACAATCAATACATTTTGATCAAATGCCACGCACAGTTAAGTAATATTTACAACAATTATTTTAAAATGTCGAGTAATAAGCAAACAGTCTTAAGATTTCAATAGAATATAAATATTTTTTACTAATGTAATTTTAAAATGTCCGTGTACTTTGTCAGTAAATACTTATTAACTGAGAAGGAAAAAAATATTCGAGAATTTCATAAATTTTGTACAAAATACAAATTCATGTTGTTAAGAAATTATAGATGTCCGCTCACTGCAATGTAGGCTATAATTTACTCAGAAATTGACAAAACATTTTCGGTAAATCGTTTAAATTTTAAGTTTAGACAACTATTAAGAGATGTAATAGTGACCTAAATCTATCATTACTTAAGGATATCAATTTTCATCAAAAATTCAGCTAAAGACAAAACAAACTTACAGCAACATTTTCTAATTTATACTAAAAAACATATTATTAAATTGTTTTGACAAAATATTTAGTATTCTGTGTATGACTTATTGAAAGCAAGACAAATACTATATTTTAGTTATAATAAAATGTCTATGTTCTTTTTACACGTCCCAGAAGTTTGAAAATCTAAATTTAAATACGTATGACACTAATAAGAATTGCACATATACTAAACTGATTCTCACTGTATATAATCGTCTTAGGTCAGGTTAAGATTAGTGGAGATTTTATAAGTAAACGATTGTACAACACAATATAATACAATTATGACATTTAATTTTAATTATCCATATGATACACTTACTTGTGTCTTACCCAAAACCTCCACGAATATTGTTCCTAAAATGTTAATAATGATATTATTCGGTTTTTACTTTCTAAAATATGGTTCGTTTAAAAAAATAATTAAACTTTAAATTGTAAGAATAATGATTATACTAAAAATATATAAATATAAGTAATAGAAGTAATATAAGTAATATAGATGTGTATAAGTACGCATAGTTAACATTATTAAATTCGGACAATTTGTAAAAAAAAATCATTTGTCACATTTGTTAAAGTTTGCTGGGTCCATTTAAAAAATATATATTTTATATAAATCTATGGCTGTATAAATAGTTAAATAATGTAACAATTAATAATTATTTACCTTGAATATAATTATATAAATTGATTACTGACGCAAATTGATGGTACATAAACGGATTTTATATTAATAATCAGAACTCATGATGGCGAATATAATATTTATAATCCAATTATTAATGGATCCACATAGCAGATTATAATAGCAAAACTTTCTTTTCTCGAACTTATGGTACGATGATAATCTACAATTGTTAAATATACTAAAGTTAGTTGAATTATTATTATATTGGATATTACAATTAAAATGCTAGGTATTCATTTTAATTTGGAAATTTTACATACATGTTTTAAATGAACTATAAATATATAATGCAATTGTTTGCAAATTACAAATGCATTCGTGTACGACAGACATAATTAACTGATTAATTAGTGGATATCCATCGATACATACAACGTTTATACAAAAATGCATACTCATTCAAATCATATACATTTTATAATCGCACATACAATGTGTTATTATTTCATCGCATAATTAGTATACGATTGTTTTAAATGGATAATTGGGCAATGTTATTCAACTGAATAGAGGTAGGTGGTGATAGTCCAATGGTATCTAGGGACTCGTCAATTCCACACCATCACAAACGGTCAAACACTTCCAAATTATATCAATGTTAATACTTTTAAAAATAACAAAAAATAAAACTACCAGGTAAGCTTATATTTACATTTTTTTTAAATTAAATAGGTAGTATAATAGATAGTATAGACAATTTTATAAGTTTACAGCATACGTGCACTTATGTAGAATACATTTTTTAAAAGGTACCTAATAGTACTTTCCATTTACCAACGTGTTTCTTTTAAAGATTATTCTAACAATTAAAACAACTGTAAGTATTGATACTTTCCCCCCCCCCCCCAAAAAAAGGAAAACAATTTGGTCTTCATGAATTCGAAATTGTAAATCTCTGGTTAATATATTATTTAAGTTTTCCATGGAATTTTTAATATTTAACTGTTTAGATAAGTTACCTATATATAGCTAAGCGTTTATATGATGTATTTATTTTAATGTTATACAGTAAGTACTTCACAAACTTATACATCAAAGAAAATCCTAGTTAAACTTAGATAATGTTCTGTTAAACGAAATGCATAATAGAATTTAGTTATGATACATAATTAAATAGGAAGAAGTAACTTGTGAAGTACGAAAAAATATTTAAAATTGGTTTTACGATGACATAATTTTTTGTGTCCGTCATCATACATTTTAAACTTGAAAACTTGCTCCAATCTTCAACTTTGAAGTGGGTTCCTGGTAGAAAATGTGATGTAGTTGGTACTTAGAGAAGTCAAAACAGAAATCTGTCAGTACTTTTCTTAATATTTAATAAAAACATATAGAAAACTAAGAGAAAACGGGAATGTTGCGAAAACCATCTGAATCATAAACAATGTATCATAACTGAATAAACAAGAAATTTAAATTTCAAACTTCATATTGTTTTGCATAGACTGTTCAACTAATACTTATGAAATAAAAATGACACCCAACTCGTGCGGAAAATAGAATGAGTATTTGGGCTTGGCCAGGTCCTTGTTTCGAACTGTAAATGCCAGTTTGCAATTGCTGTTTTTTAAATGGAAAACATGAAGGTACCGGTATAAGATGCTTTGCATTTTATGTGAAATCGAGTAAAAACAATAATTGGTTATTTGGCGTCAACACAGAATTGGGACCACTTTTCATTCGGATTTCGAACAACGCAACGCTAAGTGATTGTCCATCGCTTCTCCGATAATTTGTTTTCTCTACATCCTTTCGACATTTTTGTGTATTCAATTTTGAGAATAAGTAATGTTATACCTTTGGACAAATTGATTGATTAGCGTAACATTGAACTAACGTTATAAATTATATTCAAAAACGAATTTCGTTAAAATGTAGTAAAAATGTAATATTATATAATATAACGTAACAATTTTATTTTTTACTTATCCTAGTTAGTTGTTATACTAGATATAACTATACATCTCCATACTCGTAAGTATTTACTGTTGTATAAATAATATGCACTTATCTTAATACGAACTCCTCTGATTGACGACCAATTATTTTTCCCATGAATTTTATTGGTATAACCAACTTTACAAGTCCGGATGACCTCCAAATAGCCGTTGATAAATGCAATTTTTAGTGAATGTTTTATATTAGCATTTTCTATACGTCATACATATTTTAAAATATTTTCGACTGATCAAAAAATTTGAAAATTGAATACAATAGATTTCCCCATAAGTTGTTGTTTGCGGCAAAGGTGAGCGTAAGACCACAATCATTTTATAGATCATGTTTATTTAATCATTTTCTATACAATGTAAATTTTTAAAATATTTTGGCTCATTTTGATTTATTTATAAACATTTAAAAATTTTGTATAAATATCAATTAAATTTGAAGTAGTTAATACTGTGTCAAAAAATCTAAAAAATTATATAGGTAAACACGATTTTTTTTCAATTGATATTTAAGTCAACATTTGGACGAACCTAAAAAATCAAACAACGAATAACAATTTTAGTTATTTTGTTGTAATTTGAAGAAACTAGAAACTTTTAAATTCTATTACTATATTGTATACCCACAAACGCATTTTCAAATACAATCTTTTTTGCAAAAATTAATTCAACCTACTGTATTACAGTATTACTTATGTCTAGTAATAAAAAAAAAATACTTTAATAATTGCCATAATATCATAAAATATATTATATAATTAATAATACAGGCTGACAAACTATTTTCGCTCAAAACCGTTTTGCGAATAGAATGATTTTAGTTGATCATTATAGTGACCCATTTAGAGTCTGGAAACCTACTGTACAGCAGAATAACGGTAACTGCTTACATGCTGTCTTTTTAAAATTAGAGTTAATAGTGACCTGTGCACAATTTTAGACAGATATTCAGCGATTGTAAACTGAGCCCAAAGTACGGGTAAACACAAAATCACAAATTTAAACTGCGCCCGAGTTTTTATCAAGTGCAAAAAGGTGAAATGTAAACTGCGAGCTGGTAAAATTTTAAAAATGAATAGCTAAAAGTATTTTTGCAAAATTAAGCAAAATTACAACATTTTAAAATTTGTAGGTGTGTACAATTTTGAAATGCTCATAGACTATGGTCAACTATATTATTTAACATAGTCACGTTTGTACTAGAGACAACCCATCATTTTGGAAGTAGAAAATTGGTAAAACCACTTAAATGTATAGATTAAACCAGAAGTCGCTTTATTGTATACTAGGTGTTGAGTATACTTATTAATTAATAAGTTGTTTATAATTTTCATAATTTTTGTTTTTCAGTAATTTATGTTTTTGTTTTTCCCAACTAATGATTCAAAAAGTACCAACTAAGTCAAATTTTCTATCAGAAATCAACCTCAAATTTTAAGACTGCTACATTTTAACTGTACTCAAAGGAGACATAAAACAAAAAAATATATTCAAGGCACCTCTCAGAATCAAAAAAAGTAACAGTTTAAATACCTAGTCCTAGAAATTGGATTTTTTTATAAGTCTCGAAAACTATAAATTACGCGAAAATAAGACGTTAACAAATTAAACAAAGCTACGATAGACACTTCGTAAGTTAAATAATTAGAAAAACTGTTCTCTTCATA